AGCGTGTGCTCCAAACAATCATGATACATGAATGTTGTATGCAGCTTGTGTTATTCCATGACCATTTCAGAAAAACCCACAAATTACTCGCAAAATAAAAGAATTCTCTTAGGAAATTTTCTCTAATTATTTTTCTAGATTTAAATCATCCAAATAGCTGACTTAATTATTAATCTAGATTGCAACAATCATAATAATTATCATTTATGAGGATAATTTGAAATCAAAATAATTTCCATAACGATTATTTGTCTTGATGTTAATAATCCAAAATTAATTAATTCAATTATTAATCTAGATTTTTAATAAAAATCATAATAATTATTAATTAATTTCTTATGATGATTTAAAATCAAAATAATCCTATAATAACTATCATACTAGTCGCTGAAGACATAATAGCTATTATGCTCATGCAATCATACAAGTTATGCAACAATATGGCACCACCTATTCTATATGGCATGTTATCGCAATAAAGCATGTTATCTATCATATAATTTATACCAATCAATAAAAGCATTAAATAATAAATCATAATTACTTTAATCCATGACCTTCCTATTTTAAAGAAAATAAAATAAAATAAAATAAAATAATACAACTTTGGAATTCAACTTTCGCCTAGCCCATAGTATCTGTCTCAAGCCCCTTTAGGGTTTCATGGGCCCAAAAGCCCAAAGACCCAATCCTTTGGCGAGAAACCCTAGGACGCGAAAGAGGAACCCTAGCCGTCAGGTCTGCCGCGCCGTCACCCGAAGTCAAATCAGGCTGAAACTCCAGAGGAAGGACCACCACGTAGAGACGAGTGCACCGCCGCTGGAACCACCCAAAAAGGTGGCCGGACGCTCTCTCACTCTCCCATTCTTTTCCGGAGAGTGGCGGACACTCTCAGAATCTTGTGGAGGCGCGTGTAAACTCAGATGGCGGTGAGCCACCCACCTTTGCGTTCGTATTTCCATCCTCTTTCCAACCATATATAGATCGCCCCATTCCGAGATCGGTAAGTCCTCGAAAAGTCTCCGACAGTGCTGACTGCGCATCTTCCTCGCGATTTCTCGATCTTGAACTTTTACAAAATATTGAAAGAATACACAGAAATTCCAAAAATAAACAAAACCAACAAGAGGAAACCTAATCATATGGGATTAGCCTCCTTGTTACAAATCGAGAAATACACGAGAGACCCTAACCATGGATTAAAGCATTTTTACCGATTAAAATTTAAACTTTTATGAAAATGAATTATAAAATACACATGCTAGATTCATACCATAATCCTAGAACCCTAGGTGCCACATTTCAAGAAGCAAAACTAATTACATGAATAGTGAAACTAGATTCACATACCAATGTACAGCCAAGGCTCTGATACCAATTGAAGGAAATCTTAGATTTATGCGGAAGCGGTTTAGGACCTAGTACATTGGTATGCTTACCGAATCATCCTTGTTTCACAATTACCTCTCGGTGCGCAGGTGTCGTGTAGAATCTTCCCTTGTAGGATTCCTCTTCACGAACAGCTCACCTCAGCGCCGCAGCACGAACAACCTCCTTGAAGCTGGACTGTGGCAGATCTTCCAAACTATCTCTCGAGGAGGAAGGGGAAGTGTGTGGGCACTGATTAGATTCAGAGCTTGCCTCTTTCTCACAAAAAAGACCTTCGAGGCTGATGACTTAAGAGGTACTATTTATATGGGTTCCAAGAAACCCTAGCTCATTGGGCTCTAGGTTCCTTGGGCTCTTCTCATACTAATAACCCATTTGGGCTTTAGTAAAAGAGCAAACCCAACAAAAGTGTTATATATTATAGGGAAAAATATTTCTCAAGCAGCTTGAGATAAGTTTATCTCCGGCCACCCCAAAACTACGTCGTTTTATTTATTTATTTCCTTATATTAATTGATTCACCTCTGAATGGTTATGATTTCCTTTATCTCTCTCTTCCTTTATCACCATTGATCCATATTTGTACGGTTATGATTTAGTAGCCGGAGATAAGATTAGATAAGCCCATATATATATGTGATAATCTTATCTCCGGTTACTAAATCATAACCGTACAAATATGGATCAATGGTGATAAAGGAAGAGAGAGAAAAAAGGAATCATAACCATTCAAAGGTGAATCAATTAATATAAGGAAATAAATAAATAAAACGACGTAGTTTTGGGATGACCGGAGATAAACTTATCTCAAGCTGATTGAGAAATGTTTTTTCCATATATATATATATATGTGAATTAGAAGAAGGAGAGGATGATAGAATATGGCTTTTCTAAGTAGGATTTATGGTAACTTTTGGTCCATTGTTATTGATATACCTCAAAATCCCATCGAAAAAGTCAATCATTTTATTTTTCTATATACAAAGTTCATGTTTGTAGCCCTAAAAAAACATAAAACACTTGAACTTAATATTAAGGGTTTAATGTGTGTCTTTTTAGTTTTTAATATTATATAGTATGGGTAGTATATAGGTATAGAGTTTGCTTTTTCTGCCGTTACTGCAGATAAGTTATCTGCAATAAGTTCAATACGACGTCGTTTTGAAACAAAAATTATGGTATTTTTGTAATTTTAATTTATTTCAGGATTATAATAGTCTTTATATTTATAAATTTTTAAGATTTTAATATTAAACGACGTCGTTTTGAGAATAAATGCAGATAATTTATCTGTATTAACTGCATAAATATTTTTCTCATAGTTATAATATGAAAAAAAAAAAATTCTCAATGTCAGCGGAAGTGATTGAGAAGAGAATTTTTTTTTTATATTATAACTATATACCACCCATAATAAATAGTGTTAAAAGTTAAAATGACCTGGAGAAACCTTTTTCCCTAATATTAAATATAGAAAAGTTTAAACGTTTTATCATTCTTACAATATTTTATTACTGTTACAACATTTTATATGCATATTTTATTACTGTATTATTAATGAATTGGGTCCCTGGGAACTTTGGGCAGACGGGAGGGCAATGTAAATTTAAAAAGAAAAAGAAAAAGAAAAAACTACGGACTTTTTGCAATATACATGTATTTTAGAAATCAATTTTCAAAATTCAACTTTTAAACACAACCTGTTACACAGGTAGCCCTTCATGCTTTCATACTCATGTTTTTTATTTTTATTTTATTTTTTCCCACTAGCTCTAGTGCCAGTCTGCTACATCATGGTAGTTAAAATCAGAATTTTACTTAAAATTGAAAAAATGTTAAAAAATCGTAAAACATAAAATTTTAAAGTAAAAAAAATCGTAAAAAGTCATAAAAACGTAAAAACGTTTGAAATTTTGATAAATTCATTTTGATTAAAAAAAATTTATAAAATCATAAAAATACAGATTTAAATCGAAATTTTAACTACTAAGATGAGCATTGAAAACGTTTCCGTAAGTATATTTGGCTAATATGAAGTAGGTATATTAAGCTGACGGAGCAGTATGAATAAATCTTTGGTGCTACTGCTGCACCAAAGATTCAGTACATCCCATCAATAGAAATATTACATGTCAACTAAAGTTTTTTTTCTCTGTCAAATTTTTTTTCTCTCTTATGATATGTAATTCTTCCATTGGTGGGATGCACTGAATCTTGGTGCAGCAGTAGCACCAAAGATTTATTCGGTTTGTAGGAACTTCATTTCCCCATAATAGCTAATAGGGATTTGCATTTGTCATTTAACATGACACAACAATTTTTTTTACACACATAATATTTTGTGGGCCCACACTTTTTGAAGAAAAAAGAAAAAAGAAATTACAGCACGCAAAACGAATCTCTATAACATTACACAATCACTTTTCTTATAACATAATTCTTATAAAACCCTATCTAATAATATATTCCATGTTTGAAATGAGCTTTCAATTGAAACCTAATTAGAAACACCTTCAAAATAGTTTAGATAAGAAGAACCATGCTGTCCATGCAAGTTGGCAGCAGACAAGTTGATTGATTATTTAATTGGATCCATGCTACCGTTCTTACACCAATAATTGAGATCATGTGTCAGCAAATATTGACATATATATATATATATATATATATATCACATCGTAGTATTTAATTTTCCCGAATTTAACAAAATGACATACATAAAACACTTTACGCTTCAGAAATATTTTATTCTTAATTAATTTTACAATATGCCTATATGATAATCTTACAAAGATCACATTACTCTATTTATATACATATATTTGGAATTAGAAGTGTTAAAATATGATATGATAGGCGGATCAACTTGTAACATGGCATGAAAATTTGTGTTTGAATTGATTTTTAAAAAAAATTGTGTCGTGTTTGTATTAAAAAAATATGACCTGTGTATTTTTTTTGTCAATTACCGTTTTATCCATAATTTTGTGTATTATTCGTATCGTGTTGTATCAATCTACAAAATTTATATGTTGTGTTAGTGTTAAAGATTTTGACTCAAATAAAAATTTGTATTGTGTTCGTGTTAATATATTCGCGTCGTGTTAAATTCGTATTACAAATTGACATCGTTATTTAGAATAAAGAAATTTTATGATTTTACAATTTCACTTATTTATTATATATAAAAAGAAACAAATAAAAATTTAACAAAAATAAAGTACTTATTCCCCAATGTGGCAAAGATGTAAGATGTCCTGTACTAAAAAAAAAAAAGATGCAAGATGTAACTGAGGAAGGTTCAAAGTATGGTGAGTTGTGAAATTAAAGAAAAGTGTTGTTTCCTTTTCACATGGTATCGTCACCGGTGAGAGAGTTGAGGCCTATTTGTCTTAACATGAAAGTGATGTATTGGCAAATTAAAAAACTTTAAATTATTTGTAGCACAAAGGGTACCCTTTTTATGACTTTTGTTTTAGTTAATGACACAACACACCTCAATAATCAACATTTTCAACAAATCAAACACAGACTCACAGAGTGGGAAGAGTGGTGACGCCACGTTAACGCAAGCAAACCCCAGCTGAAGAAGATGACGCCATCTCTCTCGTCACTCAAACCACTTCATCTCCTTATCGACACGCTCACCCCCGCATCTACGCGTACAGTACTCTCTCTCTCTAAAAAAACTTTCTCTCTCATCTAGTTGACAACGAAAAAGGAAACTTCGGGGAGGGTGTGTGTCCTTGACCAGCACAGCTCTGTGATGTTATCATTTCTCTCTTCATATTCTGATTCTCTGCTACTGCCTCCATTTCTTTTCCTTCCGAAACTTCCTTGATTTTGATGCTTTGACTTCAAACTCTCTCTTTCTCTCTCTACTTTCCCCGTTTAGCACGGTTCACTCTTCATTTGTGGGTATCTCAAAGTTCGAACCTTTTTCTGATTTGGATGGATCTGATGGCAAAACTTGGGAGTTTTGTTTTGTGGGGTTGGGGTGTTGTTCCTCATCGGTTTTTGGCTTTTATTGGATTGTGAATGAAAAGTTCTGTACTTTGTAAGGTGAAGGTCTTAAAAGTGAATTTATTTGCTGGTTTTGTGTTCTTCGATTTCGGATCAGTTTTGGGTTTAGTTTGATTATGCTGTTTTGGTGGCTTTGGAAATTTAAACAAGGGATTTCTTGATCTTTTTTGCATTTTTTTTTGCTGTGCTAAAACTTTGCCGACATATCAAATATTTGTGTTTTATATGTATGCATAAGCTTAGCTTTTGAAATAGAGAATGACTCTCTAGTTGTTTTCTTTGTTGTCAAGGAACTTCGTTCGTTGGGGGTGTTTTTCAATCGAAAGTTGACTCTCTTCAACTCTCCTTCAAAAAATTCATTCGATTTTCGGCTGTGTACTTTTAGAATTTTGTGAGGGGTTGGATGACGTGTGTTTTGGTAACATAAGATTTTGCAGCTAACACTCATTCAGATCAGTGTTTATCATTTATATAGCTATCTATAGTTTCTATTTATAGGTTTCTTTTGTTTTTAGGTCTTTGCTGGGAATTTCAAGGTCTTATTTATTAACCATCCATCTATTAGTCATTAAAAAGTTGTTGGGATTCTATTTAAGGGGGGAACTTTGAAGTGTGAAGTTTTTTGAGTTTCTGATATCAGAAGATATGTTATAGGCTCAAGTGGGTTCTCAAGTTGATTAATGGCTCTTTCAGCAGAACCCTCATCATCTTTGAGCTCTTCCCATTTATCAAATGGCTCCGTTACTCACAACATATCCTCTTCTTATGGCTCTGATCCTGGACCTAGCCTTGAGGTTATCAGTTTGAGTAAGCTTAGCTCTAATTTGGAGCAGCTTTTGATTGATACTGATTGTGATTATAGTGATGCTGACATCATTGTGGAAGGAATTCCGGTTAGTGTTCATCGATGTATTCTGGCCTCTAGGAGTAAGTTTTTCCATGACTTATTCAAAAGAGAGAAAGGATCATCAGGGAAAGAAGGAAAATTAAAGTATTGCATGAGTGATTTGTTGCCTTTTGGCAAGGTTGGATATGAAGCCTTCCTCATATTTCAAGCCTATGTGTATACCGGTAAACTCAGGCCTTCTCCAATGGAGGTGTCGACATGTGTTGACAATGTGTGTGCTCATGATGCTTGTAGACCTGCTATTAACTTCGCTGTGGAGTTGATGTATGCCTCTTTCATTTTTCAAATACCAGAGTTGGTATCACTTTTCCAGGTAAACAGTCTATGTATGATGACATAAAAGAACACCACATAATGATCTATATATGATCAGCCATTATAGTAATCTTGTACTAAAATTTGAGTTCAACAAACTTCCCAATTATCTGATCCCTTTGAAACCTCTACTCTCTTAACACTTTTCTATACATTCTTTTGTTGGATATTATTGTTAATTAAACCTAACTTTTACATTTGTAGATTCTGAAGGAGTGTGAAATTGAACTCTATAATTAATTTGCCATATATCTTGCTTTGTTTAGGCACATGCCTTGTACCTGGCATCTTGTGTCTTGGCACTAAGTATTATCCTTAGCTCCATATTGAATACAATGGACTGAAATTGTTGTGCTAATGCTTAGGAAATTACTTGCAAATTAATTTCACATCTAAATTACTGGCAATATGGTGTCTGATCAAGCATAAGGATCAGGGAACTAATTAATGCTTTAAATTTTTGCAGCGACGTCTTCTTAACTTCATAGGAAAGGCTCTTGTGGAAGATGTCATCCCAATCCTCGTGGTTGCCTTCCATTGTCAATTGAGTCAACTTGTCACTCAATGTGTTGACAGGGTGGCACGATCAGACCTTGACCAGATATCAATTGACAAAGAACTTCCCTTTGAGCTCTCAGAAAAAGTTAAATTGCTCCGGCGCAACCCTCAGCAAGATGTTGAAAATGATGATTCTGTAGGGGATACTTTGTCTCTAAAAAGAATCACTAGAATACACAAAGCATTGGACTCAGATGATGTCGAGCTTGTTAAACTTCTTTTAAATGAGTCAGACATTACTCTAGATGAAGCCAATGCTCTCCATTATGCTGCAGCCTACTGTGATCCCAAGGTTGTTTCTGAGGTACTTGGTTTGGGTCTAGCTGATGTCAATCTTCGGAATTCTCGGGGATACACAGTACTTCACATTGCTGCCATGCGTAAGGAGCCTTCCATTATAGTATCCCTTCTTACAAAAGGGGTGTGTGCATCAGATTTAACTTTTGATGGTCAAAGTGCTGTTAGTATTTGTAAGAGGTTGACAAGGCCAAAGGATTATCATGCAAAAACTGAACAGATGAAAGAAACAAACAAAGATCGGATATGCATCGATGTCCTTGAAAGAGAAATGCGGAGAAATCCATTGGCTGGGGATGCCTCTATGTCTTCCCATACAATGGCTGACGATCTCCACATGAAGCTACTATACCTTGAAAACAGAGGTATGGTGTCATGGATGATATTCTTTAGCTCCTTGCTTGTGTTCTACATCGCCGTCATGGATCCAGCATTTATATTTTCAAATGCTTTATTTTCATGCCTTGGAATGAAATTTTCAGAAAACTGAGTCACTTTTATTGTTAGATATAATTGCCCATATTGACATTCTTCTTTTATTTCTTTCTGTATATCATTTCTTTTTCTTTTGACTTGCTGATAATTAGGATCCTTGCTTCCCCTCTTGCTATAAAAGTTTTTGTGCGAAATATCACTTGAAAGGGCCATTTTATGAATTTTTGGGGTTCGAATCGAGACCTTGTGTGAGTGGACCTCGGGTCTGATCAGTTTAGCTGTCGGCTTTATTAATTTCCATTGTTTAACAGTTTTCTTCTCTGATTCTATGGGAACAGAAAGTGTTTAAACCAAAAAGTTGGACACATACAAGAAATGCAAGTATTAGATGCATATTGCGGCCTCAAATAGAGTTGTGAAGATTAGTATACTTATATTGCAATTGGCAAACCCCAATTAATTTCTAGTAGGATGTAATGTAGCTTATACCAATTAATTAAGGTTTTCATGTTGGCAGAGGCCAACTCATGCTTAGTAATGTAGTTTCTTAATCTCTGTTTTATGTCCGTAAATGCCTTGGAGGGATGCACATGTTGACTTGAATAATTTTTTTATTCCAGCTTTATGGCAAGCACTATTTAAGAAGAAAAGTTTGATTAGTTTTAAATGCAGAAGCACTGAGACCACCTTATGGCTGAAAGAAAGGGGAGCCAGTGTTTATCAAAATCTTTTTCTGTTTGATACCTGTTTTATTTGATGCTGGTTATTGAGTTCTCTTGAGAGATCTGTTGTATGCCTTTTTTTTTAATGTCGTTTTCTACTGATTTTACTTGGTTCATCGGATATTTTATGCTCAAACCTTCTAATAGTAAGTATTGCTGTTATCTGCAGTGGCATTTGCAAGACTGTTCTTCCCTTCAGAAGCCAAACTAGCCATGGACATTGCACATGCTGAGACAACATCTGAGTTTGCTGGTCTTGCTGCATCAAAAGGTTCAAATGGCAACTTAAGGGAAGTTGATCTCAACGAGACTCCCATAATGCAAAACAAAAGACTTCATTCTAGGATGGAAGCCCTTATGAAAACAGGTAATTGCAGTCTTTCTAAAAGAAAAAAATTTAAATTTTCATATGACCTACTTTCTAAACTCGAACACGTGACCTTCTAGTCAGAGTAACTTTACCATTTGCTCCAAGGTTCACCCTCATGTGCAAAGCTCCAAGACATTCTGGAATTCTTTACAGTGATTTCTTTTAAGTTTTTTTTTTTTTCTCTTGTAATTCTTGAGCTAGTTGTCTTTGTTTTCTGAGTACAATTCTGACACCTACTATCTTCCATGTTCTTATGGATGCTGTGGTGGCAGTGGAGATGGGGCGGCGATACTTCCCTCATTGCTCAGAAGTGCTGGATAAGTTCATGGAGGATGACCTGCCTGACTTGTTTTACCTTGAGAAGGGCACCCCAGAAGAGCAGAAAATCAAGAGGATGCGTTTCATGGAGCTTAAAGATGATGTCCACAAAGCTTTCAGCAAAGACAAGGCTGAGTTTAGCCGCTCTGGGATTTCATCTTCATCATCCTCATCATCCCTCAGAGATTCTGTACATTACAAGACTAGAAAAGTTTGAAAAACCAATAGGGTCTTTTGTTTATGACTTTCACATATATATATATATATATATATAGTTCAAATTTTAAGGGTGTTACCCACACCACCAACTACTCATATGTAAAATTGTGAAAGCAGCATAGTTGATCTCTTACTATCTTTTTATGTAATCAACATGAGCAAGTGTTTTGAAAATATTTCCAATACCCTCATTTTCTTGGAGAAATTTATGGGATAGATTCTGAAAAAAAAATAAAAGTATGAGATCTACCTTCAAGTACTCGAGTCAAACTAATTTTCACGTGTAAGTTGGTTTATTGAGACAGCGAGAAAAAGATCTAACAAACCGTTAAAAGATTGAGTCATTGTTGGATTTGTGATTTGTAATGTTGTCGTTTTGTGCAGATGTCACTGTACTTCATATACTTATATTAATTTCATACTTACATTAAAAGAGAATATTCCATTCTAAAGCCAGCACATGCTACTGTTTTATTATGGTTTAACGATTTCAATCTAGCATCTTATTATCGAAATTATTACAATTTGATAGAGAGTAAAAGAGGGCGAAATTTTTCTAGTTAAGTTTTCAATATAATTTTTATTATTAAAATTTATTAAAAAAAAATTACCTGTATTTTTTTTCCTCATTCCAAACTAACTGTAAAGGTCAATTTGTATTCCTAGATATAGAATGAAAGGACTTCAGAAATAAGATTTAATATATTTGAACCCTTATAAACGGGATTATCTCATTTGGAAATAATTAAATTTTTCTTAAAATACCACTATTATTAATTAAAATATAAATATTTAAAATAAAACTATAACTATTTTTTTTGTTATTATAATTGTTTTTAAATATTCTTTATCTTTTCACATACTGCAATTACATTACAATTTGTAATTATAAAAGACATTATTACTTACATGTGTTAATTTTAACAAAATAAAAATCATAAATTGAGAGACATGTAATACTTATTAAAACTCTAATAAATAATATTTACCAAAAAAAAAAAAACTCTAATAAATGATCATATGAAATTTTTAAATATAAAATGTATATTCAAAACAAGGGGAGGATTATATTTACAAATTTTTTGTTTATAAACTCTTACAAACTACGCTATGTACTCCCCGGAAGTACATTCAGTTAATAATATCCTTCCCGAGTACATAATATAATTTATAAAGATTTATAAAAAAAAATTTGTAAATGAATTCTTCCCTTCAAAACAAAAGAGAAGCCAAACAACAGCATCAGAACTAACTAAATTTTTGGAAAATCTTTGGGGGTCAGAGGATGTGCCTTCCTCCTCGAATGGAGGGATTAGTCTCATCCTTCCTTCGGTAGCGAAGCTCAATACACTCGCTGTTCCAATGAAGGGCTAGCCTACAGGGCCATATCCCGAGGACAAGGTGACCGGAGGAGGTTGAATGAGAATACCTCCCGTTAATATCAAAAAAAAAAAAAAAACCGCTATATCTGTAGGAAAAACCAACACAACTGCACAAGCCAAAAGCCCTAATCTCCCCCACAGCAGAATATAAAAAGAAGTACTATTTTAAAATCAAGTTACAGAGTTTAATAAAACGTACTGTGCTGTCAATGAAAACTTAATAAATGTACTGTTTTAAAAGTACTTGTAAATTAATAATTTTTTATGGATTTTATAAGAGTTATGTTGTAGGAAAAGTGATTCTGTAATGTTATAGAGATTCGTTTTGCGTGCCGTAGTTTTTTTTTTTTTTTCAAAAAGTGTGAACCCCACAAAATATTGTGTGTGTAGAAAATTTTGTTATGTCATGTTAAATATCAAATGCAAACCCCTCTTTTTATTGCAACAGTTTATTGACTTAAAACAAAAGTACTTTCCTGTAACACTAATTAAATTATGATTGCAAGTTACTATTTATAAACGTGGCAGTACTTTCATGGAGCTGAACTAGATGGTCCAAAATTCTCTTGTTCTTTACTGAACAGAACCTTAAAATTTTAAAATAGCTTAAAAGATTCAAGATTCACCTTCACCATTCACCATTTACCATTTTCACCAAATCCAACCCTTCTTTCTTTGTCTTCATTGCTGTGCCTTTATTCTTCTATAGCTAAGCTAGCTGTCTCTGTGTTATCTTGTTTTGTTTTGAATTCTAAGAATGTTTTTGAAGCTCTTCTTACTTCAAACTTTTCTTTTCACAGAAGTCCCATTCAACTAACATATGGCTTCCTTTGGAGAATTGCCCTCCAAAGAAGGAGGCTTCCACCACACAATCTCTTTCCAAGAGAGGCCAAAACACAAACTCTCACAACATGAGAAAAAACCACTCTCTGCATATACATGTAATGATCCAAAAAGCCTTGGTTCCACAAAGCACAAGTCTGAGAAAGACACAATAAGAAGTAGGTCTTCTTCATCTCAATTCAAAAGGGCTGGTTCAGCTTCAGAAAGATCAAACTCTAAACCATTGGTGTCAGCAGATTCTAGAATGGTAGGACCCCTAATGGATGAAGTTGCCATTAGAACAGTAATAGCTATCCTCAGTGGCTACATAGGAAGATATTTAAAAGATGATCATTTCAGGATAACAATCAGAGAGAAGTGCACTGCTAGCTTTGATAGAAGAAGAAAGGATTCAAGTGATGACATTTTTGTGAACATGGAATTGGGTATGGAGAAAGTTGATAGATTAGTAGAAGATCATGGAACAAAGAAAGAGGTGGTAGTGATGATCAAAAGCTTGAGGAATTCCATTGAGCTTTTAACCAAAGTTGCTTCTTTGAATTCAAAAACGTCCAGGGTTGCTTCAACTTGTGGTGTACAAAATTCCAATCTCTCTGCTTGTGCTCAACTATACTTGGCAATAGCTTACAAGCTGCAGAAAAATGATAGGGTTTCCTCAAAGCATTTACTTCAAGTGTTTTGTGATTCTCCATGTTTGGCTCGAACCTATCTTCTTCCTGACCTTTGGGAGCATTTGTTTCTTCCCCATCTTCTCCATCTTAAGATTTGGTACAACAAAGAGCTTGAGTTCCTTTCAAATGAAGATCATGGTGAGAAGGAAAAGAAAATGAAGGTATTGAGCAAAGTTTATAATGAAAAAATGGATACTGGAACTTCTCTGTTTGCTCTTTACTACAAGCAATGGCTTAAAGTTGGGGCTAGTGAGCCTCCTCTTCCAATTGTCTCACTGCCATCAAGGCCAAGTTACAGATCATCAAGAAGAAGGTCTTCAGATTCTTCCATTTCAAATTACTCTATCAACCCAAACTTGTAAGTGATATATACATCTTACATTCACCACAACAAATGTATGTTTGTGGTAGTTATATACTTTTGTGTTTTGGTTCTTTGCAACAGATACAAGACTGTGTTTGGCCCCAAAGTAGAGCCGCAACTAACAGGTCTTGGTGACAAAAATGGAGTGTTGACAATCAGAACGTGCTTAGAGAGGGATGAAAAATTGTATGGAGACGAATGCAAATGCAGTTCAGTTAAGGTTAGCTTCAGTGCCTTCAATTCATAGATGAAATCTTCTGATTAGAAGTGTAGAATTTGCATTTTAGAAATTTAATCTCCTTTGTTGCTGTTGACAGAAAGAAGACAGGATATCTCTTGGAAGATCATCAAACCAATTTGACAAGAATCAAGCTCAATTATGGACTGTGTCACAGAGATTGGACTATTTTCAGTGGTTTTCTTGCAGGTTCATTCCAACAGAAAGCTTGGTAAATGGAAACAATAGATCCAAGAATGATTCATTCAAAAAGGAAACACCTGTTCTTTCGAGTGATTTTGTTGGAGCTATTACAACTATATGTTCATCAGATATTCTAAGTGAATGTGAATTTGCTATTCGTGTGGTTACCAAAGCTTGGTTGAACTCTCCTGGTGATCCTCTCATTGAAAAAGCACTGACACAACCTAATGTAGTTGAAGCTATCCTAGAGGTGTTATTAGCCTCAACTGAGGATGAAATTCTTGAATTGATTATATCAATTTTAGCAGAATTAATAGTAAGGAATGGTGCAATAAGACAAATTATACTGAACTCTGATCCTCAACTAGAAATCTTTGTGAGACTTCTAAGAAGCACTAGTCTGTTTCTAAAAGCTGCAGTTCTGCTTTATCTGTCAAAGCCACAGGCAAAACAGATGCTATCATCAGAATGGGTGCCACTTGTACTTCGAGTGTTAGAATTTGGAGACAAATTGCAGACCCTCTTCACAGTACAATGCAGTCCTCAAGTGGCAGCATTTTATGCTTTGGACCAACTTCTTACTGGTTTTGATGAAGATAAGAATTTAGAGAATGCCAGGCATGTTCTTTCACTTGGGGGATTAACCCTACTAATTAGAAGAATTGAACAAGGAGAGGTTCATGAGAGAAACAATTCTGCTTTGATAATATCATGTTGCATTCGAGCTGAAGGAAGCTGCAGGAGTTTTTTAGCTGAGAATATAAACAAGACTTCATTACTTGAACTCATTGTTCTCGGGAGTAAACAAAATTCCAAAGGGTATGCCTTGTTTGTGCTAGCTGAGTTGCTCTACCTTGATAGGTATGTACTTCTTACTTACCTTTCTAGATATGTTTTTCTTTTTTCTTGGTGTCCCTTTTTTTTTCTTAATCAGAAAATGCTGATAATAGTCTTTTGGAATCATATCAGAAGATCCAAGACTTTAAATTTCTTAAGAGGACTTAAAGATGGATGGGGTGGCTTAAACATAATGCACATTTTCCTCATTTACCTTCAGAAGTCTGCACCCGAAGAACGCCCTTTAGTTGCAGTGATATTATTGCTGCTTGATCTTATGGTAATTCATTCAACTTACTAATGCATATATGGAATTTTTTATAGTACAAAATTATCAAAGTTCTGTGACTTTATTATTTTTAAAATCATAACTTTTAGACCTTTCATTATTCTATATTAAATTGGTTTTAATATCTTGAAGAGTTCACCAATGCAATAGCAGTTGTGTTGCAGGAAGATCCTTTCAAAGGCAGCTTATATAGAGCAGAAGCGATTGAAGCAGTTGTAGATGCTTTAAATTGTCAAATATGTAACGATAGAGTTCAAGAACAATCAGCTCGAGCTCTACTCTTATTAGGAGGCCACTTTTCTTATACAGGAGAATCATTAATGGAAAAATCGCTTTTACAAAAAGCAGGTTTCCAAGATACTATCTTAGAAGATTCATTTCCTTGCAAGGACATTGTTGTCTATGATTCAATTAAGGTAAGCTTTGGTTAAAAATAATAATTATGTGTTTGTCTTTACTTCACACATGAAAACATGCTTCTAGTACTAGTGGTTTCTCTTTATAGCACTTCAAAATCATTGATTTGTTGTCTGTCCTTATTAGAATAAAGAGGAAGAAGAAGCTGAAAGTTGGAAAAGAAGAGTAGCTTGTGTCTTGTTCATAAGTGGAAATAAGAATTTGCTATCAGCACTTGCAAATTCCATAGCCAATGGCATCCCAAGTTTAGCACGAGCAAGCCTTATAACTATATCATGGATGAGCAGCTACCTAAACTTTATTGAAGATAAAAAGTTGTCACCAATGGCTTTGTCAATCTTAATGCCACAGTTACTACAATCCTTGAATTATGATAAAGATGTTGAGGAAAGAGTGCTAGCTTCATATTCATTGATATGTCTTATAAAAAATTCAGGTACGAAAATCTTTGCCACAACTTTTTGAGCTGTTTCAGTTTTGTTACCAAACTTTTTAGATTTGTCATCATAGAGTCTCCAGAACATATTTTTATTATAATTTTTAATTGCAATTTTATATACTTGTTCAACTTTTCTTTATTTTTAGCAGGATATGTCTCTGTCCTACCATCACTGGATAAATACTCACTCAGACATCTCAGAAATCTCTCCCTAGTGACGTGGACTGCCAATGAACTCATATCAATCTACTCAAAAAGCAACTTGCAATTAAGACAATGATAATTGTTGAATTTTTTTTTTTGTCTTTCATATAAGTGTGATTGCAATCATCCTTGAGTTTTGTATAGTTTATTAATTTGAGAGGGGATATTTCTATCAAAAGAAACGTAATATTTGTTTTATTCATGATAGCATATGATTTCACTATCTTGAAAGCTTGCTTAGCCCAAAGAAAGAAACCACAGAAAAGGGAGCAAAGAGACTTCAGTGCTAGGAAATCTCAATATTATCTTTTTTTCCTAGATTATAAAATTTGTACTAATGTCACACTCTCTCTTTTGTTTTCACTCCCCCACATGCGTAACAGAAAGGAAATAGAAGACAAAAAATGAAACTTCAACTTTATTTTATTTAGTTACACATGGATAACAACCTATCTCTTAACTTTGTTCTTCATGTGCACCTGTTTGCTCGAGACTGAGACAGATGAGCATCCACCCACATCACTTCATAGAAACAGAATCTCTTAGATTAAAAAAATCTTCATTTTCTGTCCAAGATTAGTAAACAAACTGTACCGAAACAATTTAGGACATAATTGAATAATTATGTGAATATGATGTGACCATAATTTATATATAAGAATAAAATCATTTAATTAGAAGATTAACATCATTTTATCATTTGAGAATGAAGAAAATAATATTGGTCAAGTCGTCCTATTAGAGATATATAAAAATCACTCATGTAACCTCATCCAATAGTTTAAGCTTTTGGGTTAAATTAGTTCTTTACATGGTATCAGAGTCTCGGTGTTCCAGATTCGATCCTCGTCACCCCATATTTTCTTTGTGGAATTTCTTAGCACAGGTAGGTTAGACCTAATGTATCATCCACCTTTCAAGTTCAATAAACTCTCTTGCGAGGGAACATGTTAGAAATATATAAAAACATTAATGTAGTCTTACCCAAAAGCTCAAGGGTTGAATTGGTTCATTACACGTGCCAATACAGACAATAACCGTGCTTGAATTAAACTAGTTAAGTTCTTTAATTATGATGCCCTTGTGGAGAGGAAAAGTATCATTGACTACAAACTAAGTGTTGTCCTTGATATATCCTTCTCGTGGAAGAAACTAAAGGTGAGCTTTCATTGTCTAGTGCCAAAGTTATCTCGTTATGATAATTGCCTCTTGTACTCAGGCCTCAAGCTTTTCATCCAATTGAGGGGTCCAATAGCATTTTGAAAGGGAAAGTGCATTGATTGGACAAGAATATTTTGTATCACAAATCAATGAACAATCTGTTATATGTGACTTGTGTTGATTTTGAATATATAAGTTGACGGCCATTATGATAATGGCCAGCACATCAATGTTTCTTTCATTGTTCTTGTATGCATTAGAGAAACCCCATACCATGTTTAATATTGGGATCTAGTACATGACCAATATGCATGGTCCCCCCTTTGTCCCCCTTTGCATTGTTCATGTCATCACGTGCCAGTCTCTATTACATTTTTTATTTGTTTTGTATGCAATGTAGGAATGTTTTATGTGTAAGCCTATAGATATGAACCAGTACCACAGTTCAAACTTTCTAAGAACTTGGCATCTAATTAGGGAGGGACCACCAAATGTCATTTACTTTGGTTAAGACAAAAGTCATTGTTGAATCATTTGAAATTACTGTGTCAAAGGTGTTGTGATTATGTAATGCGAAGGTTAATGATAAGTTCAAGAGAAGTTGAACCTCACTATGCATGGTTGAGCCTCGTTCAAGTAGTGCTGGAAGGGAGATTGCAATGGGATGCTGGGCAGCAAAGCAACGCAGGAGGTATTCACAAGACGGTTGAATTGGTGTTGGGAAGATTTGCTTGTCCGGGATGTACTTATAAGACACTCTAACGGTGAAATTGGATGACTGAGTTTAAGTAAATTGGAGAAGATAATCATACTTGGGTTTTAAGTCTTTCTTATACAATAGCGACATGACCTGCTTGTACTGCCTTAGTATGACGGCATTCATTTTTAATGGTGGATTGAGGTGACTTCATCAACTAATCCTCCTTGTGAGATGCCTATTGGTGAGCTATAATATATATGCTTAACTAGAGCCTTGTGTCTGTCCTTTAGTTATTGGCTCTTGAGGAGATTTATGAATTATGTGTTATTGCATGTCCTGCTTGTACCTTCGAGATTGTTTATATGTATGATATATACGCTTCCTTACTCTTTAAGTCTTTGTTTTTGGGTCTCTTGAGCTGTCATTAAATTGGACACTTCCTCTCACTTAGTAAGGATCCAGATTAATTAATTTTCACACATTTTAGTTATTTATTTTAAAATTTGATTAAAGGTAGTTTGTCAATATTAAGAATAGGAAATTCAATTTTAAAATGTTTGCTAGATAATGAAATTGACATCCAGTGCAAAACAACAAAATTAAAAGCCGCAAAAGAACTAGCTTAAAGTGTGGGTAACACCGAAAAAAAATATACAACTATATGCGATCTCAAGCCCAATGTACTCAAGCCCTAACACAATATCTAAACAGACTATGATTTATTATTATTTTGACTGCCATACCCACCTTACTCGCTAAGCCCACTGGAATAGCCCGTTATAAACTTAAAATAATTTATTTATTCCAAAAAAAAATAGGGTTTAATTTTTTTCTGATAATAAAATTATGGGGAAAGTGTGTGTCATTTTAAAGGATATAAAGTTGTATCATTTTAAGTGAGAGAAAGAGATAAATAAAGAGGGAGAGAGAGTGGATCAAAAAAAATAAAGTTGTAGGTCCTACCTCTTTGTGAGAGTGAAATGACATAAATTGTGTCATTTAAAAAGATAAATTTTTTTCCTAAAATTATCTTTAGTGAGTCCAAAATAATATCGTTTTGGAATTGAAAAATTAAAAAATTATAATACTAAAGACTAATATAACCCTAGAATAAGTGAAAATTGCCAAATTACATTTGATTTAACCTAAAAACGATATCGTTTTGGGTTCACTGAAAATTAGTTATCTCCATTTACTGACATTAAATTCAAAAAAATATTAGTAAATAATGATATTGGGCTAATCTTTTCTCATATTACATTGTTACAAGAGAGAAGATTTTGCTCATGCACAACTATTATATTATCGGACTCACCAAGTTTTAAGAAAATAAAAATAGGGAGTGGGACTGTGAGAATTTTGATGTGTGTATAACAGAAAAATTTATTGTGTAATATGAAAAAAATTAACCTAATATCATGTGATTAGTATTTCTTAGTATTATCTAGGGGTGTGCATAGAGCGGTTCAGTTTGGTTTTTAACAAAAACCGAATCGATTTTAAATGATTTGGTTTTCAAACCGAACAAACTTTTTTAAAAAAATGGTTTTAATTGTCCAAACTGGTTCTAAAACTGATTTATGGTTCATAACCGATTTTGATTTAAAACGGGTCAAAACCGATTTTAAATCAAAATCAGTTAGCAACCATAAATCAGTTATCAAATTCAAAACTGATTTTATAACAAATTCAAAACTAATTTTTTATGAGTTTGTGTTTTTTTTTTTTTGAAATAAAATAAAAAATGGGGAGGGTTATACTTACCGCCAGCTAAACTTACTACCAGCTAAACTCACCACCCTTACAACTAATCTAATCATCGTTAGATTAGAATTAAATCTAACGGTGATTAGTTATCCCTTGTAATCTTAATTTTTTCTCTCACATCCCCTCTCTGCCTGTCTCTCTCTAGCTTTCCATTCCCTCTTTGTCTGCCTCTATCTCTCTCTAGATTTGGAAGGTTCTATCGCAACCTTAATTCAATAATTTAGAGATTGAACTCAGGGAAACATGTATGAGAGCCTCACCACTTTTAGGCAAAGAAGGATAATGGATGAGTATATAAAAAAAAACTCTAAAGTATTTGTGGTAAAGGCTTCCAACACTCTGAAAAAGAAATGATTCGGATACTTGGGCAACATAATATCCAAACTGGGAATGTCATGGATCCTAAGAAGATTAAGATTATACTGCAATGGCCTGGGTTTGTCAAAGACAATGAAAAATTCGTTGAGTCATTCGTTAATCTTATTAAATTTTTTTTTTTTAATTACTCAATTTGCTGATCTGGAGGGGTCTTCTGCTCAGATCTGGGATGCTGCACCTGATTAGTTTATTTCTTCTTGCTGTTTTGTTTTTGCTTTGTTGTTTTGGGGGCAATCCCTTTTGTTTACCCAAAAAAAGACTAGAGAGAGACAGAGAGGGGATGAAAACCTAGAGACAGGCAGACAGAGACGGAATGTGAGAAAAAAATTAAGATTATAAGGGATAATTAATCACCGTTAGAATTAATTTTAATCTAACGATGATTAGACTAATTGTAAAGGTGATAAGTTTAGCTGGGGTATCCTCACAAAAAATTCTCTCTTCCAAAATATAAGTAAAATTTGAATAGAACTTATAACTGAAGCAGAATCCACCATCCTAATTGAAATTTGAAAGCTTTACTGTTAGGGATAGCACCCTAAAGAAACAGAAAATAAACTGGTTTATTATCCAGATATGCTCCAAAGATTACAAGGGTGTTTATTTATACATATCTCTGATCTAACAACACAGCTAACCCACCTCTAACGTCCTAATTGTTTATTATTTCTTCCCCTTAACCGTAACATACACAATCATTGCAAGAAAACTCAAATTACCAAAATCACTATGTAGCAGGTTACCCTCCTCATATTCTAGAACCTGCATACTGACTTGGATTTGACAAAACTACAGATATTATTAAATAACCATCTTAGTTGAAATTCACAGCTATTTTTCAAAACAATCCAAGGATATCCACATTGCCAAACCCAGCATCAAAACTACCCAAAACAACGATCAAGAAACTACGAACTCACTCAGATTAACAACATAATTAACAAACCAAGACATATTAATCTTGTCTAAATTAACTTCACCTAGCCAAAAAAAACTCGAAGGTGATCCAATTACAAAATAAAAGTTAACAACGATTTCTTACTTACAAACACCAACAGATAAAGAAGAAGAAAAAAAGAAAAAAAGAAAAAGATAGGAAAATGCAATTTACCCTCACAACAGCAGTGATATCACGCAGAGGAGTTCTGGGTTACCAAGAAGGAGAAGTAAAGACACTTTTCTTGGGGTGTGAGTGTGTATTTGTTTGTCAGTGTGTTAAATTTAACATAATCTAAAATCAATATTGGTTTAAATTTGGTTTTATTATTTTGGATATCCAAACTGTTGTGATAAATTGATAATTGAACTTAAACCAAAATTAAAAACATGGATTGGTTTTTTAAACTGTTTAATAAAAATCGATTTTTGGAACTGGTTTGCATCAGTTCAAGAAATGGTTTGGATCATTTGATTTTGTTGAAAACCCATAATTTTATCTCCCAAAGTGTGTGGGGTTTATATATTTTTTTTCCTCTTTACATAACCTCACATAGGCCTTATATATTTCTATATCGCTTTAATATTTCTACAGTTAATATAGATAAGTTATTTACATTCACTCCCAAAACGACAGATTTTTGTATTAAAAAATTATAATAAAAAAGACTATTATAACACTAAAATAAATTATAATTACAAAAACAAAAACAATTTGATTTCCGTCCCAAAACGACGTCGTTTTAGGCTCAATATAGATAACTTATTTATATTGACCGTAGAAAAACTGAACCTTTTTTTATATATATGTGTGTAGTAGATAAAATTATCTACTTCAATGTAAACATTAAACCCTAAAATTAAATACTAAAAAAAAAAAGATAGGATATTGTAACAACCAATTAGTGTTACTACCAATTAATTTTATCGTTAGATCGATTATGTTGATCCAATGGTTATATTTATTTTCCTCTTTATATGGTTATGATTTACACCTTTGTATGGTTGTGATTTCATATATTTAATGCTTTCACAACTATTAAATATGGGAAATCACAACCATAGAAATGTGTAAATCATAACCATACAGTTGGATCATCAACCTAGTTAATCTAACTATGAAATTGATTGGTAGTAACACTAATTGTTACATATCCTTAAAAAAAAAAAAATATTAGTAATACTAATAAAATAACCCTGATCAGCTATTAGTGATTGCTCTAATGGAAACCGGTGGCGGTGGCGGTGACGGAGGGCAACCTGGAGGTTACGGCGGAAGAGGAATTCAGCAACCGCCTCAGGAGCTGAGTCTGCAACCAGAATGGAGACGCCCAAGGTCAAGTGGCTCAGGCGGAAGAGTGGAGAACGTGATTCTTCAACCGGAATGGAGGCGAGGGCAGTCAACTGGTTCTCCTTCTAAGTCTGGCGGTGAAGCGCAGAAAGAGGAGAACGTGATTCTTCAACCAGAATGGAGGCGAGGGAAGTCAACTGGTTCTCCTTCTGAGTCTGGCGGTGAAGCGCAGAAAGAGGAGAACGTCATTCTTCAACCAGAATGGAGGCGCTCAAGGCCAACTCCAACTCCAAGTGTTTGGGAACCAGAATGGAGGCGATCAAGGCCAACCGCTTCTCCGTCGTGGAACCAAAATTACGGTGGCCGGAAACCAGGAACGTTGATTTCCTGTGGTGTTGAAAGAAGCAGAGACACTAATGACTTTTGGCGACATGCTCCAACTCCAGGTATATTCAGTATTCAATATTGAAATAAATATTCTCTTAGCACTTAGCTTTCGCGTTTTAAGATTAGGAAAGAGGAATAGGGATCAAGATATTCTAATGCGAAATGATGCATTCATAACCATTCATTAGAAGAATCAACAGTTTAATTTTTATATGTATCAAATACAGGCACTTGGATAACCAACTAGGATTTGTTATTTACAATCAACTCATTCTCTTCATTGAAACTATTTCCCATATTGACATTCGCTGTATCATTTGTTCACCAATGGATATGTATACAAATTGTCAAAGAAGTATTGTTTTCATTGTTGTGTAGGTTTTTTAGCTATTCATTTTCATTGCAGATTCTGTAGTTCCCAAACTGCAAAGACTTCAAATATCGAAACAATTAGCTATGTCGCCTAGTACCCTCGAAAGAAAGGATAAAATTTCGCCTATTCGGAGACCTGACAATGGTGGCACGCTAGGTATTCTAACGAGCAGACTTCGTGTCAATCATTTCCTTGTTAAGTTGAATCCAGAGAGTATAATAATGCACTATAATGTTGGTGTCAAACCAAAGTTTTCCTCAAATGTTGGCCAGCCTCAGAAATTATCGAAGTCTGAACTTTCCATGATTAGAGAGAAATTGTTTTCTGATGATCCTGAGAGATTGCCCTTGGAGATGACTGCACATGACGGTGCGAAAAATATCTTTAGTGCAGTGCAATTACCAGAAGAAACCTTTACTGTGGATATCTCGGATGGAGAGGATGAAAATACCATTTCATATAGTGTTACCATAACACTTCTTAATAAACTCAGGTTTTCCAAATTAATGGACTATCTTAGTGGGCATACACCCTCAATTCCTAGAGATATTTTACAAGGGATGGACGTGGTGGTTAAAGAGAATCCAGCCAGGCGCACAATTTCTGTGGGACGACATTTCTATCCCACAAATCCTCCTTTGGTAATGAAGGATCTTCACCACGGCATAATTGCCGTTGGGGGGTTTCAGCATAGTTTAAAGCCTACATCTCAGGGTCTGTCCTTATGTGTAGACTACTCAGTGTTGGCTTTCCGAAAGCGAAGGCCAGTCTTGGATTTCTTGTGTGAGCATATTGATAACTTTAAATTAGATGAATTTGAAAACTTTAGGAAATATGTTGAGGAGGCACTTATTGGATTGCAAGTTAATGTGACTCATCGTAAATCCAAACAGAAATACATTATTGTGGGATTAACACCTACGATTACAAGGTATGTCACTTTCGCCAATGACAATACCGAGGGCTGGAATCTTTCAAAGGATGTTAGTCTTCTTAGCTTTTTTAAAGACAAATATGGCAAGGACATTGTATACAAAGATATTCCTTGTTTAGATTTAGGGAAAGGCAACAAGAAGAACTTTGTACCCATGGAATTCTGTATTTTAGTCGAGGGCCAAAAATATCCCAAAAAGCATTTGGATGGTGTTGCTGCGAAGACATTGAAAGCAATGTCACTAGCTCACCCAAATGAGAGAGAGGGTGCAATACAGAAGATGGTGCAGTCAAGTGATGGACCTTGTGGGTAAGGAGAATATTATTTCAGTTGAATTATTTCTACATGTATATGTTTTTGGAACTTGTATTATTACTTTCCTTAGTTCTTAGTTACAGTTGCATGAAATGACAATGATGGGTTTAGATCATTGGCTACTTATTTAGAAGGTAAATTGCAGGTTACATACACTCTTCAATTTTGGCCCATGTGCGGATTAGGGCATAGGGTTTTAAAAGGTGCAGATGACCCCCTAAACTTCATACTTTGGTGCAAAGAACACCCTCCGTCAATTAACTGAACAAGTTTGGTCCATAAGCTCTGGTACCAACTGCCAAAGTTGAAGTTGGTAAATTCTTTAGATCACCAAAATAAGATATTATTCAGAAGAAATTTGATAATAGGACAGGAAAACTTGGTTGCCAGCAGGAAAGAACTATAATTTACTCTTTACGGCAATATTTGAACCTATTAAGAATAGGAAAACGAAGAGACTCAGCTTTCCTTGGAAGAACAAGTGAGAATATTATATTTGACAGTGTTACTAATAGGATAAACTAATTCACAACAACTAGACTCCTAGCTAAATAATATGAATCATACTGCCAGACTCCTAATGAAATTTAGAAATTATGCTTGTGAACACTGAATGAAATATGACATATGGACTTAACTTCTATTTGCAGGGACAAATATTATCCATGTCGCCATTGCTATAGCTTAGCTAATAAGTACAAACTGCATATGTTTTGTATTCATTACTATTGGGTGGGTTTTCAACTTTACAATCCTTCTATTTTTCTCATGTGAATGCTGGAAGTGATTAGTGGGAATATATGTGTAAATATAAGAAAGTATGAAATCTCTTAATGGTTTATTCATTTGATGTCTGTGGATATATTTGTGATTATATAATTGGTCCGTTATCTTTCTTTTCTAATTTATCAGAGACATATTCCGCTTACAATGTCTTTATTGGCAGTGGTGATCTTATTCAAAATTTTGGAATGAGTGTCAACACGACCATGACAACCATTGTAGGACGTGTCATTGGCCCCCCAGAATTGAAGTTAGGTGATCCAAATGGCAAGATTATCAAGATAACACTGGATCTAGAGAAATGTCACTGGAACCTTGTTGGCAGATCAATGGTAGAAAGCAAACCAGTTGAGCGTTGGGCTATTCTTGATTTCACCAGTTCAGGGCCATATAAGTACAAATTAAGAGTAAAGGAATTCATTCAAAAGCTTATTGGTAAATACAAAAAATTGGGTATAGAAATGCAGGAGCCCATTTGGTACGAGGAATCTTCGATGAATATACTTGCGAGTTATGATTTGTTATCCGAATTGCTTGAAAAAATTAAATACAATTGTAAATATAACCAAGGTCACCTGCAATTTCTTCTCTGTGTAATGGCTAAAAAAAGTCCAGGTTACAAGTACCTCAAATGGATTTCCGAGACCAAAGTTGGTATAGTGACACAATGCTGCTTGTCTTATGGTGCTAATCAAGGGGAGGACCTATTTTTTACTAATCTGGCTCTCAAGATCAATGCCAAGCTTGGAGGCAGTAATGTGGAGCTCAGTAATAGGCTCCCTTACTTTGAGGGTGAAGGACATGTTATGTTTTTAGGGGCTGATGTCAATCATCCCGGTTCACGGGACACCAGGAGTCCATCAATTGCTGCTGTGGTTGCAACTGTTAATTGGCCTGCTGCAAATCGTTATGCAGCACGTGTTTTCCCTCAGTACAATCGAAGTGAGAAAATATTGAACTTTGGGGAGGTTTGCCTTGAGCTTGTTGCATGTTATAGGAGGATGAATGGAGTCAGACCAGAAAGAATTGTTGTTTTTCGTGATGGGGTGGGTGAGTACCAGTTCGACATGGTTCTTAATGAAGAGCTATTAGATTTGAAGGGAGCATTCCAAAGATTAAATTATTTCCCAACAATCACTCTAATTGTAGCACAAAAACGACATCAAACTCGGTTGTTTCCAGAGGGTTGGAGGGATGGGTCTTCAAGTGGTAATATTTTTCCGGGAACAGTTGTGGACACAAAAGTTACACACCCTTTTGAGTTTGACTTTTACCTTTGTAGTTATTATGGAAGCCTAGGTACAAGCAAGCCCACTCACTACCATGTCTTATGGGATGAGCACAAGTTTACATCTGATGAATTGCAGAAGCTCATATATGAGATGTGCTTCACCTTTGCAAGGTGCACTAAACCTGTATCTTTAGTCCCTCCCGTGTACTATGCTGACCTTGCTGCTTATAGAGGACGATTATACCACGAAGCAAGCATTGGGATGCAATCTCTGAAGTCAGCAGCATCTCCATTTTCTAAAGCTTCTTCATTGGGTTCACCAACTGCTTCATTTGAACAGGAATTTTACAGGTTGCATGCTGACCTGGAAAACATAATGTTCTTCATCTAAAGGACCTATCATCCACTCTTCCAGTAGCTGGGGAAAAGCTTACAACTTCTCTCCTGTCCACACTTGTTACGAGTCTAACTGCTTTTTCTGCTCAAAATGGTGAAGAAGTTTGTGCGCAAATCTAATGGCGCGTGAGTCTTGAAACTATCTTCTGTTTGCTATAGTACCTTTCCAGTTTAAAGGATTTTTATTCCCATGCATATTGGTAGGCTCTAATCAGCTGGCCATTCTGGAGCTCAAAGCTAGACCTTTAAGTAAATTTTTTATCTTTTAATGGGTATGTATTCAGGTGCCCATTATCTGTTCCTGCACCTTCAGGTGTGCCCTATAGCATTATGTCTCACTGCCAACATGTGTGAATTAAAACTAATGTCTAGTGTCAAGAACTATATGCTGCTGAAAACTGGCAATATCTATTTTCTCTCTAGACTTTATAGTGCTATGCTCAGAGGAACTCAAATTGGCATGCTATCTTCTTATCCAGTTTATTTATTCTTTTGTTTGCACTATTATTAACTTCTATTGTTTGTCTTATTGATTTTGATTTGGCAATTGGTACTATTTTAAATTTTCTTTTTCACATGAACACCTTGGCTTGACATTTTGCAACAGTTATAACATGTATTCCATGCTTCAAAAGGATTTGTTTGATTCCTACACATCTTCAGCATTTTTCAGGTTAAATGGAATTTCAAAAACGGTACCAGCTGCTTCAAATTTTGTAGTTGGCTTGAAAACTGGGAATGTTAAATAATTGCGTGAAAAATCCCTATCATGCATCTCAGTTTTCCTATCTATGCAAGACCCACACAATACCTGTGAATCTTCAATCTTGCTTAGAAGCTCTTCAGCAGACCCGATATCATACTCGATCATGATTACAAATACCATCACCTGGAAAATGGGGAAGAGAAAGAAAACGGGACAGAAATTAAACTCGTGAGTGACATCAGACATGCCACAGTAAAGATCGTCATGGATATCATGTAAGCTATGAGCACATTGGTAGGGGAATGATTACTACTTTTAGCACAAACACTCATAATCTGTAGTCCCATCTTTCTTGAAACTTCAACTCCTTTTTGGTTTTTAAAAAAATCAATATTTCAACTTGTTTCATAAAATCATAAGCTTCATAGTCGAAGGACTTCTGGTTTTGTCACTTTACTGGGCATTCTTGATTCCTTTCATTTCTCTAATATTATCAATGCCTACACTTGTAAGTCCTTCTTCGATTTCTTTGTAGCCCTTTTACTTAAAATTAAGCTTTGACAACTTTTTTGGGAGGCTAAAGCTTCCTCTAATGCTTTTACTAAGACTGTACACTTAAGAGGATTAACACTAATGATTTGTTCAAGTCTCACAGATGTCTGTGTTATGTGCTATGAATGCTCTGTTATAAATAGTTATTGCTATTTGCTTTAGATGGCAGCTGTGAAGAATTTTTTTTTGGGATGCTGGTAAACATAAAATTTGTCTGCCTCACTTGCAAACTTTTAATTTGTTGAGGTTTTGGAAGTAGAAAGGTGGGTAAGGCTCTTAGAATTGAGCTTTATTGCTAGAGTATGGTATATTTGGATAAACAGTAACAACCTTTCTTAAAGTCATAGATATCTCTTTTGCTAGTTCCTTGCCTATATGGATATCAGTTCATGAATGTTTCTCCAAGGCTGTCTTCTTGTGCTTAACAGCTGTAGTTCAAGTATTTGCAATTCTTGTAACAGCATGTTTGAGTTTTCGTTCACACAATTCAGTTTTTTCGCTCTCATCTGTAATTTTTCGATTATTTGAGGCTTGTCCTCTATTAATAAATTTGGAAATCCATATAGATTATGACCTGAATCTGATTGGTTTCTCTTTTCAATATTTATCCGTCCAATTCGCTCCAGAAGATATTTTTATATTTTTTTCCTATATAATTTCGGAGACAATCTCATATTTTTTTTATTTTATGTTCTTGTAGATAGATTTTTGGAATAATTTGTTGGTTGGGCAAACCAAAGAGAATATGGCTTTAAGTTTAATAAACTCTAAAATTTTTTTTTGTTCCTTAATTTTCAATAAGGATCATCACTATACAAAAAATGAATTTATTTTTTTATTAAGTAATAAGTATCATAAGTGTGACTTTAACTATTTTTTTGTTTAAAAATATATCTTCATGACTCGTTGACTTGGTGGAAATCTACATTGAGACTGACATTTGCTGCTGTAGATTTAATCAATTCAAGAAAGAAAAAATTCACCAAATTCCTTTGGAGATTGCTTGTAACATGTATTTGGTCACATTAAAAATATATATCTCCTAGAAAATCAGGTTAATTAAGTTATAGGTTGGCTCATTTTAATATTACTTATGAGATATTAAAACTTACAATATTTTTTATTTTAATTCAATTCTAAAAAAAAGTATACATGAATTTTATTTTGTAATGTATAATTCTCTTAAAATTTGAACTAAAAACTTATCATTTTTTATTTATTTTAACATTTAATAGGTCACATAAAGAAATTATTTTTTGGAGAAAAAAAAAAGTTTACTAATTTACAAATATTTACAAAATTTAAATTTTTTATTTTTCTTCAAACTGTAAAGAATTATGTTACAAAATATCTTTATCTATAAAATTTGATAATAACTAAAAAATTTAGGGGATTATTTGTAATTTATCATGAATAATTGGATGAAGTACCTGAAGCTTGATCGTGGCAGCAATGGATTTGTGCTTGTTTGGGAGTCATCTAATATATCATTGAGATACAGAATTATTGCCTTTTGACTCCTTTAAGATCTCTGTTCAGATACTACCTTTTAGTGTATCATTTTCATGTAATAATTCTTATAACTTTCTTTAGACAAGTAAGTAAATATTTATTTCTCTAATTATATTTGTCAAATGTATTTTCTTTTCTTTTTTTCGAAAGCATATTTGTAAAATGTTAAATGGGCTAGGAATAAAATTGGCAGCAGGAGGTAGTACTAGTAGCTTGGACAGAGAATGCTTAAAAGGGTGTTAGCAGTTTTGGGCTGAGAAAAAAAAAAGATACCACATCATTCATTAGTAAGCTTTGGTGAAAAAAAACTCTGTTAAGTAGTATCACCCTGTCCTATCTATCATATATATGCATGGTTAAGAGTTACAAAGATAAAGAAACTCTTGTTCAATCACAAGGCCTTATAAAAGCTATTTTAATGTGATTGAATTACTACAACCATATATATATATATATATACATATATATATATATATATATATATATATATATATATATATATATATATATATATATATATATATACACACACAATTTTGATGCGTGAAGAAACACCACCCACATCTCTAATATATGAGAACTTAACTCTCTTAATATGCTTCATCAGAATCATAGTCATATTCAGCTTCACTTCCCATTTCATATTCAGTTTCACTTTCAATTTCAGAATCTTCTTCTGACTTGAATGTGAATTTCATCTTTTGGCTAACTAACTCAGCAAGGTCCTTCCTATTGCAAATATTATAGGCATCTATAATAGCGTTGAACAAAGACTCACTTGGCTCAATATCTCCATATTCTATTTGGCTATATATCCGTTTCACACCTTCAACCATGCCAGCTTTTCCATAACAACCTACCAGATTAATATGAGTTACAAGGTCTGGTTCCACATGCTTATCCCGCATTTTCATATATATATTCAAGGCCTTATCAATATTTCCAGCTGAAGCATATGCATAAATTGCCACATTAAAAGCGGTTGAGTCAAGATCAATCTCAGATTCTATGAATGTTTGAGCAGATTCAAGTGCCAAAGCATGCATACCAACTAAAGAGTACAAAGAAGTCAAGATTGCTTGTCGAGCATAAGGTTTTCCCTCCTGGTAAGATGACTCTAATTGTTCCACTGCTTCAATTGGAATCCCTCCCTTCTTTAATACAGTAAATAACACATAAAAAGTTCCCTCATTTGGCAAGAGCTTCTGAGATATCATCTGATGTATTAGTTCACCACACTCATAAATTTGTCCATTAGTGGAATAACACACTAGTACCTTATTAAATGATGCACAATCCCTTAGTAAACCTGACAGTTTCATCTCCTCTGCAATCTCAATGGCCTCATCAAGCATGCCCACATCTTTATAAAGATACATTATTGTTGCATATGAAACTTCATCTGCCAAGCCCTTTTCTCTCAAATTTTCAAAAGAAAACCTGGCTTCGGATACCAAGCCAAGATCTGCAAAGAGGCGAATCATACTATTGCAAGCAACTAAATCAAGACCCCCTTCGATGTTCTGCATTCGCTCATAGATGGATTTTGCTCCTTCCAAGTTTCCAACCTTACAATAAGACTTTAGAAGGGATGTTAACACAACTAAATTTGCTGATATTCCAGATTCTTCCATCATTTGGAAATATTGAAGTGCCTCTTCAAGACTACCAAATTCTGCAAATCCATTTATTAAAGATCCATAAACAACCTCATTTGGTTTTACTCCGGCTTTTAGCATTTCCTGGTACATACTGACTGCATCAGAAAGCTGACCAAGGCGAGCATAGCATCCAATAAGAGCAGAAAAAGTTTGACAATGTGGCTTAAACCCCATATCCTGCATTTCAACCACGAGGTCCTTTGCTTGGTCTGCAAAATCAGCACCTGATAACATTTGAATAATAGAATTATAAGTGCAATCATTCGGCCAAGTCCCGTGATTTTTCATCCCTTTGAAGAGAACAACAGCTTCATCATAAAGTTCTGCTTTGCCATATGCTTTAATCATGACGTTGTATTCTACAACATCCCTTGTATGTCCTGCCATTTCCCTTTCCCTATTAAAAATGTTCTCAGCTTCGGCCCAAAGTCCCTTTTCAGCATAAGCATCCATAATTGCAGCACATATAGTTGATGATGGTTCCCCCACATTCATTTGAAACTTCTGAAGCAAGTCCTTTGCTTTATCAACAGCCCCTTCATTAATATACATCTTGACAATACCAGGAACAGAATGCTCATCAACAGAAACAGAAAATTTCTCCATTTCATCAATTAAAGCTTCCACAGCTTGAACCATATTGTTTGCGCATAAAGCACCAAGAAGAGCTCTGTGAGTTACAGCATCTGGGAAGAGCCCAACTTCTCTAATTCTTCTATAACAAGAGAGAGCAGCATCAATATTCCCCGCATTAGCATACAAAGACAAGAAAATGTTATAAGTTTTTGTATCAGGGGATATACCCTTTTCTTCCATTTTACCAAGCAAAGATTCAGCTTCTACCAAATTACCATGACTTCCACAAATAAAGATCATAGTGTTAAAAGTGTATGTATCCACTGCCACTCCAGATTTTAACATGTCAGCAAAGACATCAGCAGCATCATTTAGCCGCCCGGCCTTGCCATACAAGTCAATCATGGTATTGTAAGTGGAAGATATCCTAGGTTTCTGGGGAACATTCTCTATATTCAATGAAGTCATAGAACTAGAATCAGGAATTCTCCCACCTGTCTTAAAGAGCTCAGTGGAAAGAAAATGCTTGAAACTAATAGGTATTGATCTAGAGCTATTCATAGTAACCATTAAAGAATCCAAATCAAGATCATCTAACTCAACTTTCCCAGCACACCAGTTCTTGTAAAACCTATCTGCCCTATCAAATTCTCCCACATCCTTCAAGACCTTAACAACCGTACTCATGGTGACCTCATCAGGGAAAAACCCCCTCATTCTCATATGCTTAATCCACAAAAGAGCTTCTATTACAAGACCTGCTTTGCCATAGACATCAACAAGCATGCTATAAGTGTTGTTTGTGGGCAAAACACCGTTTTTGGCCATATCTACCCAACAAAGCCTCAATTGATCCCATTGTTGAGCTTTACCCAGTGCTCTAAGCACCACATTATAATGAATTACATTGGGAACGTGCCCTGTCTGTGACTTGAACCACTCAAAAACCCTCACAACACGTTCCCAGCTACGCTGTTCTTTGAGGATAACAGTGATTTCTTTTGGACCCAGATTCTCATCTAAGGAATCAAGAGCCTCTTCAACATCATGAGCCAGCTCCAATGACCTCAATACTGAAGGCAACACACCACCATAGTTCTTCTTCTTCTTCTTCCTACCATGCATGGAGGAAGAAGAATTGGTGGGCAAAGGTAGAGTCTTTGAATGGCAACAACGAATACGTGGACATACCCACCTTGTGTTGAGTGGTGACAACTGAACCCAGAGAGGTTTGGTGAAAAAGTTGGCAACAAAGTTAGAAGAAGACAATGAAGAAGAAGAAGAAGAAGAAGAACTTACAGGGAATATATCTGCAGATGACATGTTTATTACAAAGTGAAATTGGAAGAAGAAGAAGAATGAAGAAGAAGGAGAGGTTGAAGGAAAACGGCGAAAGGCGCAAGGCAAGACCTTGTTACGAGGAAGGAAGACAAAAATTCTAACCAGTGTTTTTGTAGGGTTTATACAAATAAAAAATATTATATTATAAATAAAAATATTTTTGAAATAAAATACAAATCTAATATAAAAAAATATTATTATAATAACCATTTGAAAATCACAATTGAAGATTAGTATTTGCTTTTTTCCTCCTATTATCTCTAGTATAGTGCACCACTTGATTCGATGCAAATTGTCAAAAAAATTGTTGGCCAATGATTGAAAAAAATAAACTTATTAATTAAAGAGTTTCCTAATCTAGATGAGAGAATAAATTTGCTGGCTAAATTTATTGGATTGATTAAGTCATCCTAATAGTAAATATGTAGAGTGATGTCATTTCAATTTAATGTTTTTTGAGGTTTATTGCTCAAATGTTGTCAAAGTTATACTTGATGTACAAGTCATAAATTTCAATACTTATCTAAAATATGAGTTCATCTAATCTCATGTTACATGAGAGAAGATATCTTATGTTGTAGAGACACATGTGGTGGGATTCATTATTTACAAAAAAAAAACGATTTTCGATGGATCTATAGAAGATAAACTACTCTTACGTTGCATAAGAGTAGTTTTTTCTCTAAAATATTGTACTTTAGGAATGGAATGTGTAAATGCAATTTTTATGTGTGGAGGTGGTGTAATGATAACTATCGTGAAAGTTGGAGTTTAGAACTTACTTCTAGGCTTTTAGCATACAAGAGTTATGTGCTTCTGGTTTAAAATTGTTTTATTTAATCTATTTGATATCATTGATGGAGCTTTCTTAAATTTCACTAGCAATTCAACATTACTGAAAGTTGGAATTGTTCTTTATTTTGCTTGTTATTATACCTAATATGGAAGTTATGTTACCTGTGTATCGATTGCAGATAGGGGACAGATTTATAACTCAGGCGTATGCAGAGGTTTTACGAAAAAATACTTGCAGTTGGACTTCAAGGTTATGCAAAATTGTATGTCTAAATCTTTGCATTTGAGATTAAGGGGGTGTATTGGATTGAGATTTCAAATGATTTTAATGGATTGTTTTTGGACAAAAAAATCCGTTGGTATTTGATAAAGATTTTAATGGATTGAAAAAAGTCACGTGGTATTTGATTAGGATTTTAAAGGATTATTTTAGAATCCGTCCAAATCCGTTGGTATTCAATCAGGATTTTAAACAATGGAATCACAATCTTGTGGTATTCAAAAATCCGACCATTTTAATGGATTTTTTATTGGTATGGATTTTGTGAGACTTTTTAGTGAAAAATATAAATAGGATGCCTCTCTCACAATCTCACCCTAATCTCTAGGATTTCTTGAAATTCTTCTACTGCAGTGTTTTCTTCTTCCTTTGGCAGGTTGACTGCTCAAAATTGGGTTCTGCCATTGGGAGCTTCGTCAAAACAAAAAAAAAGGGAAAAACTACTCTTATGTTACATGTTATAAATTTCTCTCTTACACATCCTTCGATAATTGTGCCACCTTTTTCTTTTCTTTTCTTTTTATTTTTCTGGTGGTGGAGCCCACAAGTTTATCTCTATGACATGAGATAACTTATCTCCTTTAACATGAGATTAATAAAACTCCAAAAAAAAGCATAATTTTGAGCGATTTTCATCACAAAACAACCTAGAAACAACAAACCAACGAGATTTTAATATAATCTATCTCAAAAATAACATATTTTTGAAAAATTTTGGAAGTTTCAAAAGTGATTTTTCAAGCTGTGGGTCGCGGTTTTTCTTTGCACAAAAACGTGTCGTTTTTGTATTAAAAACAACATAAAACCCTGAAAAAATAACAGGGGAACTAAAACCCTCAAACCAATTTTTGTTTTACATCAATGAAAAATATTTTGTTAAATAAGCTCTTGGTTTTTCATTTTTTAAGCTCTTCATTTGCAGATAAAGATGCAAAACTAACTCTTATTTTTTCTATTATAATTTGCAGGATTGGTTATTTAATAATTTAAAAGACATGGCTGCTGACTGCTTCGATTTTCCTTGGGCATTACTGTTTGGTATCACTTGCTGGAAAATTTGGACATGGAGAAATGAAATTTCACATGATTCGGGAAGGGTGGAGAGTATATTCAATCCAGGTGTGGTTAAAATTTTGCTGAAGAAGTTGTCTCAGCGTCTTTGTCTGATGTTGGTGTGGCTACTACCAGAATTTTTGACACGAATTTAATCAGGTGGATTCCTCCTGAAGATGGGTGGGTTAAAATTAATACTGATGGGGCCTCAAGAGGGAATCCAGGAAATGTTGCATGTGGCGATTTGATTAGGGGCTCTGATGGTAAGTGGTTGGAGGCTTTTTCTTATCGGGTGGGTTATTGTAATGCAATTACTGCTGAGCTTTGGGGTATTTTGAAAGGTCATAATCGGGCTTGGTTAGGAGGTTGGAGGAAGATTATTTTATAAAGTGATTCAGCTTCTGCAATCACTTTGCTCACCAAGACTGGTGATGCATCCTGTGAGTCTCGTATTGTGACTCGTATACGGGAATGGCTTTCAAAGGACTAGACTGTTAGACTAGCTTATATTTATAGAGAGGGAAATGTTTGTGCGGACTGGCTTGCAAATCTTCCTCTGGAGAATGTAGATCAAGAAGACTTTATTGCTTTTAAACCCCCACTTAAAGTAAGTGGTTTTATTTTTTTGATATTAGCTCTGTTCATAGAGCTAGACGCTTTCGGGTGTAATTTTATTTCTGTTTTCTTTGGGGCTTGGCTCCACCACCAAAAAAAATATGCAAAACTAAGAAGTTTCTCTAATTCATAATTAACTTGATTTGACATTTTTACCAATATTCAATGCAGACACCAACCTCACTTTTCTCGTTTTGCTAATTGGGAAGGGATAGAAAAGGTGGTCTTACTCTCTATAATTTCATTTTAACTACTACTACTAATTGTTTTTATAAAAAAAAAATTGGGCTCTGCCTCTGCCCCTTATGCTCTATTTTTTTATTATTTACCTTCTGTATTTTTTCTATCCAAGTCTTTTCTTAACAATGTTAGAATTTCTATTTATTATGACTATTCTATCCTTCTTACAAAAATACCTATCTTGTGTCATCCTCTACCCCAAATTTTGTAAAGTTTTTTTATCATGTAAATTTTTTTTAGTTTCAGATAAAATTTGTAAAGTTATTGTAATAAAAGAAAAAAAATTATTTTGATGTTTCTAAGAAGCAAGTAAAATAAAAATATTAATTAAATTTCAAATAATTATAAAAATTATCGCTAATTGTCTGAAATGAAAAGCAAAAATATAGATAAATCACATTAATATATGATAAAGTGTCATAATAGGTACTATAACAATAATGATAAATTCTCATGAGTAATTTATTAGAATAATTTTTGTTAGGTATATATTTTATGGGGTTTATTAATCTCTTTTTGTAGGAAAGTTTTTCTCTTATGTCACACTCACAAACCAACAATGGGACCCACCAAAATAAGAAAGAGAAAAAAAAATTAAATGGACCCCACGTTATTTTTCAGTGTGCAGGAAAAGAATGCTGTATTATGTGACATAAGAATAGTAAAACCCATATTTTATTCGTGAAGAACTTTTTGTAAGTACCTTACCAAAACTTTTCCTTAAATATGACTATGAGAATTACTTATGAGAATTTATTCACGAATAAAATATATACCCAGCAGAAAATATTTTAATAATTACTCATGAGAATTTATCAATACAGTTATAGTACCTATTGTGACATCCTATCTTATATTAATGTTATTTATCTTGTTAACTTTTTATAATTGTTTTTGAAATTTAAATGATATTTTTTTATTTTACTTGCTTCTTAGAAACATCAAACGAAAATTTATTCCCTTATTACAGGAACTTCACAAATTATATCTGAAACTGGAGAAATTTATATGATAAAAGATCCTTGCAAAGTTTGGGGAAGAAGAAAACACAAGGTAGCTGTTAAAGTGTATTTTTGTAAGAAGGAAAGAATAGTCATAATAAATAGAAACTCTAACATTATTAAGGAGGGACTTAGATGAAAAATATACAGGGGATAAATGATAAAAAATAAAGAATACGGGGTAAGTAATTGATTCAAAGGCAAACCACTCGGGGTTATTTGAACTTTTCTCTTCTTAATTTTATACGTTAAAAAATAAGCTTTCACCGGTGAATAAATCTAATTCAGGATTAGTTAAAGAGTTGAAACTTGTGGGATACGAGAATGACTTGCCTCAAAGATTTGGGATTAGTCAAAGCGTTAAAACTTGGGGTATAGATCAACTTGTCTAAAAAAATAATTAAAGTCAGTAAATAAAAAGAATACTTACTATTTTTTTTTTTTTAAAAAGTAAATACCCAAATTGGTACCTGACAAAAAACTCGGTGCCCAAATTAGTCCTTCACAAAAATAAACTCGTTAGATAGTCCCCAACAAAGTGAAACAGGACCCACGTTAGTCCTTCTGTCAATCCAAAACTCACGGCGTCAATGCCGGTGATGATGTGTAACGTTAATGAGAAAGGTCATTGCCACGTTGGAGGGGAAACGACGTCGTCTGAAGAAATTTGCTTCCACGTTGCTGTTCAGTTCTCCTTCCTTCTCAATTTCGTCAAAGGAACATCGTTGTATGCTTTAAGGTTCTTCTTGAACCAGAAAGAAGGGGATTTAATCGAAGATTGAATCGAAGATTGAACGTTTAGGGTTTGGGGATTACTGATTTAGGGTTTGGGGATTACTGATTTAGGGTTTACTGATTTAGGGTTTATCCTCCATTTTGTGCGTTGTTCGAAACTTGGTGTTTAGGAGATGAATATTTCTTCTGGGAGGGGGAGCTCAAGCCCTTGTAGTTCATTTCGGTCCAGAAGTGAAAGAAGAAGAGTTGTTCCATTGTTCAAATGTGGGAGACACAATGTTGTTTACACCTTCAAGACCATTAGAAACCCAAATAGAGCATTTTTTGGGTGCTCCAATTTCAAGGTGAGGTGAGTGACCACAAAAAGAAGATTATTGAGCACAATATAAAGATTGTTGAACTATGAGTGAAAATGCAGGCAGAGTTTGAAAGGGTGGAAAAGGAAATTAAGCATGTGTGTAGGTGTGCTAGGGTGTTTGCTGGATCTATTATTGTTGTGTTTGTAATATGTATATATCTTGCAAGTAGGGTGGAGTGAAATAAAAAATGTGGTTCTGTTGAGATTTGCTGATACATGTTGTAACAATTTTGGAATGTAAAGATTTGTAATGGAAGGACCAGTGTTGAAATATAATGAATTGTTGTTCGTGCAATGTATATAGCTTGGCTTATGTATTTGAAGTTATGTTAAGAGGCATACAATGTGTTGTACAAACTTGATGCAGATAAAAAAAATTTAGAAACAATGTATGAACACTATAGTAAGAATGTGATGGTGTGAATTATGCAGAAGTTAATTGTGTTAGTCATGACTGATATCAGCATGAATAAGGGGAAATGACATTGCTGGTCTGTTAATAGCAAATGTACATTCTTGTTAACAGAACTTTAGCAGGGACTGTAAAGGGCCCCCGATAAAATTGTTAGGGACCATAATGGACTTATGAGTTAGAAAATAAGGACTAAAAAAGTCCTCGATAGAAAATGTTGAGGGCTGATGGTTTACTAATGAAGTGAAGCTACACATGACTCATAAAGGACATAACAAACAGAACAAAAATACCATTATTGACAGAAACCAGAAAGTGTATCAGGAGACAGATGGTGTGGACCAAAATTTAAAAATTGTAGCATTGAATACATTAATGACAGCAAAGACAGAGAGAAAGCAAACATTTTGCATTCATTTCATCACATCCTAGTTACAATTACTAACCATGGCCAACATGCCATAGTCATACAAAAAAAAATCCCACTGACTTATTTCCATGAAGGCCACTACATATGTGTTCCAAAAAAGCATAATACTCATACTAACTATGGCCATAACAAGAGGCATACAAAAAATGACCTAATGACATATTTCAACAGGACCAATACCGAAGTATTTCCGAAAAAAAACACCCTAATTACAATTCCAATCAATTCCTATATCAGTGGCATCCAAAAAATGACCTAATGTCAATGATTACACAGTATTCCAATCAATTTTGTGGGGCTGGTCTTGGTGGCTTGAACCCTGGTGTAGACATGAAGCTCGTGAATCTGGCTCTGGTGCACTACTTGTTGTAGTTACTATCTCATTGGTCACCCAACAAATATTCCACACCTTGAAATTGGGGCACCCAAAAAATGCTCTATTTGGGTTTCTAATGGTCTTGGAAGTGTAAACAACATTGTGCCTCCCACATTTGAACAATGGAACAACTCTCCTTCTTTCACTTCTGGACCGAAATGAACTACAAGGGCTTAAGCTCCCCCTCCCAAAAGAAATATTCATCTCCTAAACACCAAGTTTTAAACAACGCATAAAATGAAGGATAAACCCTAAATCTGTAAACCTTAAATCAGTAATCCCCAAACCCTAAACGTTCAATCTTCGATTCAATCTTCGATTCAATCCCCTTCTTTCTGGTTTAAGAAGAACCTTAAAGCATACGACGATGTTCCTTTGATGAAATTGAGAAGGAAGGAGAACTGAACGTTCAATTTGTTTCTTCAATTGAGAGGGAAGGAGAACTGAATAGCAACGTGGAAGCAAATTTCTTCAGACGACGTCGTTTCCCCTCCAACGTGGCAGTGACCTTTCTCATTAACGTTACACATCATCACCGTCATTGACGCCGTGAGTTTTGGATTGACAGAAGGACTAACGTGGGTCCTATTTCACTTTGTTGGGGACTATCTAACGAGTTTATTCTTGTGACTTGTGAGGGACTAATTTGGGCACCGAGTTTTTTGTCAGGGACCAATTTGGGTATTTACTCTAAAAAAAATTAAAATAAAATATAAGACTTTTGAATTATAATTTAATTAATTCAATCGACTTTATTTGTAAGAATATTTAAAGAGAAAAATTGGTGTCACTTTAAATGACACAAGTTGTGTGTCATTTCATAGACATAAAGAGGTGTAAGTGCTAGGGTTTTCGTGCAAAATCATGCAGCCACCTATCGATCATAAACTAGCTTCTGATGAGGTTGATAATCTGCAGAGGACAAAGAAAAAATACAAGGTGAAGTTACATTTTCCAATGATTATACGCTGACTCAAAGAGAAGAGCCATGGATGGAGGACAATACAAGCTTCAAGGAAGTCCTAATGAGACACAATAGGGAATGGAAATCCAACTTTGTATGGACATAAGGTTGATCTCTGTCCAAACGCTCCTAAGGTGATCAGTCAAGAAGGTGTAGTTAAGGAAGCCCAATCTGATACAATTGATATTAAGGAGGTACAACCCAATTTTGGTATGGAGGAGAACACCCATTCCAACTTTGGCCTTTGGATGGTGGTGTCGAGAGCTAAAAAGGGAAGACATGTGAATGAAAAAGGTGTTGTGATAGTTGAGAAGGATAGGGGAGATGGTAATTCAGATTTGAATGACAAGGTTAACGACCCGGATGTTGTGAATAACATAAGTAGTAATTAAAACCTTAATATTGGAAACCTTGATGAAGAGAAGCAGGCTAATCAAGGGGAACAAGTTGTATCTCAGAATCCTATAAAAGATATGATTAAAGATAAGGAAAATAAGGTTCATGTAGTAAAGACGGAGAACGCCTTTAAGCTAGTATGGGATGAGTTGGTATGTTAGCAGACATGTGAGGAACTCGATGTATCTAATGAAGTGCAAATTCTTAGGAAAATCCATCATGCGTTGAAATCCAGGTTGGGGACAAAGACAGATCAAGATGATAAAGTGGTTTAAATGGTCACAGACAATGAAGAGAGGTTAGAGAACCCAAAAACCCAAGTAAAAGTGCATAATCATCTGATTTGTGGTAATCCCAATGCCCCAAGCAGATCACAAGAGCCAAAGCCCCATAACCCAAAATACAGCAGGCCAAAAACAAGTTTGAACAAGAATAAACTAGATAGTTCCCATCATGGAGTAGGAAGAAATATTACAGGTTGACAGTTGCAGGGTCTTGCTCAACCTACAACTCCCCTTATAAGCCAATCCACTAGTGATCCATGGATTATGGCTGGCGACTTCAATGATATCAGATGTCCTAATGAAAAGAAGGGTGGTATGCTACTTGACATAGCCAAATGCAGCAGGTTTTCTGGTTTTTTGGAGGGTTGTCTAGTAGATGATTTAAGGTACACAGGTCCTAAATACACTTGGCAAGGTCCCAAATGGAATAATCTTGATAGAGTTTTAAAAAAACTCGATCGAGCATGCGACAATCTGAACTGGAGAATGGCATTTGAGGACACTGAAGTTCGGGTCCTTCCAAGGATCCAGTCTAATCATAGCCCTTTGTTGGTAACAATGAATTCGCATAGCACTCGTTGACAAATGAGACCTTTTAGATTTGTTGCATCTTGGTTGGATCATCCGGAATTTGGGAATCTGATAAGGGACAAATGGAATAATAGGGAGGATATTAATGTCATGTTAAACCAGTTGGTGCCTCACCTTCATAAGTGGTATAAAGAAGTGTGTGGAGATATTTTTAAAAGGAAGACTAATCTATCTATGGAGATAGTGAAAGTCCAGGCTCTAAGATTAAACGAGGACAATCAGAGACTTCAAGAGTTGGAGAGAAATTTGCAGAAGAATTTAGAGATGACCCTTGACCATTGACCAGGAAGAGATGCTTTGGTTCCAAAAATTTAAACATAGCTAGATTGTAGATGGAGATAAGAACACAACATTCTATCATTTAAAAACGGTGATACAAAGGAGTTCGAATAAAGTCTCAACACTTAGAAATGATGTTAATCAGTGGGTAGAGGAACCAACTGAGCTCAAAAATCTGGTTTGTAATTTCTACAAATGTTTATTTAGAGAAGAAAATAATAACTGAAGATGGCTAGCTTCCCCCAACAACTGGGCTGAGATACCTACTGCTTTAACTGATAACACGATAAAGGTTCCAAGCATCTATGAGATCTATTGGTGCCTTTAAAGCTCCTGGAGATGATGGTTTCCTTGCTATTTTCTTCCACCTTTATTTGCATATGGTGAAGAATCAAGTTTGTAGTGCCATTAACAAAATTAGAACAACCCAGAGCTTGTGGCAGACATCAATTCCACTCTTTTAGTCTTAATCCCAAAGATGAAAGACCCTGAGTTTGTCTCCCATTTTAGACCTCTCTCATTATGTTCTGTCATATATAAGTTGTTGACTAAACTTATTGTTCAAAAGCTCAAACCGGTGATGGAATGTATTATTTCACCTTTCCAAGTCAGTTTTGTCCTGAATAGGCAGATCCAAGATAACATTATTATTGTTCTGATTCACTCTACGCATAAGATGAGGGGCAACAAACCATTCATGGCTATCAAAATTGACTTAGTCAAGGCGTATGACAGAATTAGTTAGGAACTTTTTAGGAGAACATCGAAAGAAATTCCTTTACCAGAACATACTGTAAAGATCATCATGAGTTGCATCCAATCCTCAAAAATTAATGTGCTCTGGAATGGTGAAAAAATAGTTGATTTCTTGCCATCTAGGGGGAGTCACCAGGGTGATCCACTGTCACCTTATTTGTTTGTCATTGCTTTGGAGAAGCTGACCCATATAATAAATACTACAATTAATGGAGGTTTGTGGAAACCCATACAGGTGGGTAAAGGGACCCCAAATTTCTTACCTTGCCTTTGCAGATGATCTGATGATTTTTATTGAGGCTAGTGAAGATCAACTTGAATTCTTGATGAGATGTCATAGCATTTTTGAAGAAGCGTCTGGGGAGAAGCTTAGTGTGGAAAAAATGTGTGTTTTCTTTTCAAATAATACAAATGCGGATTTGTGTGGTAAAATTATTTAGAGTAGTGGTTTCAAACATGTTGAAAATGTGGGGCGTTACCTGGGATCAATGATGCAACATGGGAAGGTATCAAGGGACCTTTATACTTGAATTTGTTGAACCATAAGTTTCCAAGCTTATATATTTAAAGTTTTGATGATTATAAAGCACCAATAAGCTCAACATGGATGCTCAAATTAGAAAGTAATGCAATAATGCATGGTGCCTCGCTGACGCCCGTTTTCGTGAAGGAAAACTTAATCCGAAATTTTGCAAAGGATGTGGAAAAGGCTGCAAACAAATGTATAAATCTGGCTTCTGACAGAAGAATCATAGTAGCGGACATATCTTGGCAGTTTCCCAATTCGGGTGCTGTCAAGGTTAATACGGATAGGGTTGCATGTGGTAACCCTAGTCCAGCTGCTTGTGGGGGAGTCATTTATGATGAGTGCGGTAAGTGGCTTGGTGGCTTGGTGGCTTTGCGTATAAATTAGGGAGATGTTCTTCATTCGAAGCATAATTATGGGGTGTCCTTAGGGAGTTGGAGATAGCTTGGAATGCTGGGTACCGTAACATCATTATTGAAAATGATTCAACAAGTGTGCCCACTGTTCTCACTAGAAATGGTGCAGCAGTCCGTGAGAATCATTTGATTTCTCATATACAGACATGGATCGATAAAATCTGGTCTGTGACTTTCAGGCATACTTTGAGGGAAAGTAACTCGTGTGTAGACTGGTTAGCGAATTTTATATTAGACTATGAGGGGCAGGAAAACTATCTTATTTGGCATGAACCTCCTACTAGCATCCAGTTTCTGTTGCTTGCTGATCTTTCAGCTGTTGGGAGACCTCGTGCTTTGAGTTGCAATAACTAAGTTTCTTTTTGTGTTCTTTCTTTGTTTTGTGGCTTAGGCCTTTTGTTTACCAAAAAAAAAAGGTGTAAGTTCCACTGAAAAAAATTTAAAGACAAAAAAAAAATGTGGATCCCACCTTTATGTCTATTTTTTTTTGGATAAACCACAGGTATCCTTCACGGGAGGCAATCTTGTTTGGCACGGGTCTAGGATTAAGGCTTTAAAGCCCTTCCAATAATGGAACTGAGAAAGGATCCAACATATGCTCTCTCCCCATCTATCCAGCTTCCATGCGCCAACTGAGCTATTATTATTTAAAGTGACACATATTTTTCCCATATTTAAATGGGTATATCATTATTTTGGTGTAAGTTATTTTTATAATTTTAGTCGTTGATTATCCGAGGACTCTAACTTTTTTTTTTATGTTAATCATTGAACATAAGTCGATTAATAATGATTAGTGAATTTAAGATTTCTTATTTCTGGTACTGGTATAAGAATAATATATATCATATTTAAAATATTATTCCCAATATATTTGTTTAGTTTTTTAAATCTTAAAATTATAATTTAGGTAAAAATTAGAAAAATATCATTTTTTTCCTCAAATTAGTTTACAACAAGTTAAACCTAATATGTTTTATTTTTTGAGTTTTCTCAAGTTATCCCTTAGCCAACAGTTGAAGACTAATTTTTTTGAGGCGTGGAGATCACCGAAGTGAGTTTTTCCTTTACCAATAAAGCATTTTCTATACACAGGGTCAGTGATTAAACCCCTGTCAATATGCTTAAAGGACTTAATTATCTTTTTTTTTTTTGGAAATTGATCATAATTACCTCTTTGAGGCGAAACAGAACCCCCCGGTATCCCCACAGGTTCGACTCTTTGAGCCGCTTATGGGACTAATCCAGAGTTCGGGTGCGAGTCCAAGAATTACGGTACTTATGTCCCTCCCTGGATGGTGTTGGTGGGATTCGAACCGAGGTCCTCTTCCACCACTCAGTCCCCATGCTACCAACTGAGCCACCACACTTGAGTAGGGACTTAATTATCTACTTACTGTGTCGGGCTTTGTTAATAAACCTAATATGTTATTAAACTACGAAGAACTTATTATTATTAAGAGTAAGTTATATTTATAAAAAATTTATTTATCAATTATACTATATATTTTTGAGAATATATTCCTAACTGAATTTATTTATGAAAATACATAATTAAATTTGTAAGAATTTATAAATAAAAAATATTATATTTATAAAATTTTCTTATTATTAATGTGTCGTTAAAAAAAACAAAAAACTTTATTGGCGTGGTTACAGCTTTTTCTGCATATACAAACTTGCCTTACTTTTTGGCTCTATTATAGTGCAGGCACTTCTTCTGCGCCATCAAATCTCACCTGTCCTTTTGCTTCGTCCTCATGTTATTCCTTGAGGCTTGAGCCTTGAAGTGTCACTTTAATTTATTAAAATATAAAGAGATATTCTCCTTACCTTATTTTGATATCTATTTTATTTACTTATTTTATATATTGTTAATGGGAAAAGTATTTATTATTTTAAATGATATAAAATTATGTTATTTTAAAAGAGAAATAGATATAAAATGAGTTCGCTTTTTCTGCAGTTATTGCAGATAAATTATCTACAGTAAGCTCAATACGACGTCGCTTTGGGAAAAAAATCATGATATTTTTGTAATTTTAATTTATTTCAAGATTATAATAGTCTTTATATTTAAATTTTTTAAGATTTCAATACCAAAATGATGTCATTGTGATAATAAATGCAGATAACTTATCACATTAACAGCAGAAATATTTTTCCTATATAAAATAATATTTTTTTTATTTAAAATCTAAATTAAAAAAACTACTCACTTTCTTCCCATGATTTTCATTTTTTGTGTCTATCTCTTTTCTAAAATGACATAACTTATGTTATTTAAAATAACAAATATCAAACACCAAACCCTTTGTTAAATGAGATTTTAATTAATTTTTTCTCTCTCTATTCTAAATATTTTAATCCAATAATATTAAAGATAAGTAAATATAAAGAAAAGTAAACATAATATTTTATCTCAAAAATAAAATATTATAAAAAATATATACTTTATTTAATTATTAAAAGAGATTATTACTTTTTATATTATAGAAAATAATTTTATCTCGAACACATACATAAAAGTGTATAGAAACCATAGGAAACCTATTTGAGATAATATAAAAAAATAATAATAATATAAATCTCATATTTTTTATATGGGTTTTATAAGAGTTATGTTGTAGGAAAAGTGATTGTGTAATGTTATAGAGATTTGTTTTGCGTACCTTAATTTTTTATTTTTTTCTTGAAAAAGTGCGGGCCCCACAAAATATTGTGTGTGTAGGAAACTTTTTTGTATCATGTAACATGATAGATGCAAACCCCTTTTATATATATATATATATATATAAATTAAAATTAATTTATAATATGAGAAAATTAATCCCTTATTAAAATGGGTTTTATAAGAGTTATGTTGTAGGAAAAGTGATTGTGTAATGTTATAGAGATTCGTTTTGAGTGCCTTAATTTTTTATTTATTTTTTTGTTTTAAAAAGTGTGGGCCCCACAAAATGTTGTGAGTGTAGAAAAATTTGTTGGGTTATGTTAAAGGATAAAACGAAAACCCTATTAAAATAGTATAAAACATTTATTCTGGTTTTAAACATTTCAAGAGCCTTGTCTTCTCTCTGTGTTCCCTTCATCCTTTGTACTACCCTTTTTTGGTCATCTTTTCTGGTCCCTGTAATCATCCACACCCTCACTGTTTCTCCTTTCATCTCTTCTCTTATCCAACCCTTCTTTACTTTCCACTTCCTTAAATACTTTTTTTTTGTTCTGGGTACAAGGTGGTTCCTTTTACACTGATCATCAACCCCGTTTTGTTTATTCTCTTTGTTGCTTTCTGGGTTTTTCCCATAACTCTTAAATACTTTTGTTTCATCAGTGACTCAAAATTTTCCACAGGTTAAAAAATCAACATGCAAACGCCATTATTGCTCTAGCACCAAGCAGAATCCTCATTCATTGTTCTTTGTTCTTTTTATCGCCGGACTCATAGGATACGTTCTTTTTTGGATGTCTTGTGTTTCTTTCGCTTTTCAGAATTCTGGGTTCTGATAGGGATAAGCTATGATGGTTTTTGTTCCCGAGATTCACGTGCGTGTCATTATTTTGGCGTGTTCTGAATCGGTCTCTGTCTTGGGCTGAAGATTCTTTCTCTTCTTTTTCTTAATCTTTTTTCCTTAATGCAATTGCAATGACATGATGCTAAGAACATTGAAGGTATAGCAATAAATTCGGATCAAAATTCAATCTTTTTCACATTACAATTGCATAAGTAATCCGGGGTGAGCTGATTTTTTTTTATTTTTTTTTGTAACTTTCTGGAATGTGGAAATGTAGATATTCATCAATGGTGTGGAACTCTCCATTGGAAGTTTGTTGCTTTTCTCGTTGTTCCTTCTGCAACACTAAGTCAGATTGTGGGGGGCCTTCAAAATTGGATCTTGGACTGCTTCTCATGAGCATGGTTCTTCTACACTATTGTTGATCCCTTGTAAGTGATGCTATTGTCTGAGTTCTTAAATTAAACAAAATTGTTGCTTTGCATGGAAGAGTGAATCTTAAATGGAAGTGTTGTCAAAGTTCTTGGGTGGTACTATGAATTCAATAACTAGCAAATGTATGGTTTTGCTTGTTGCTGTTTTGATCCTTAGAGCACTATTGCTTCCTTCCCTCCCTGGCTTTGATGGGATTGAATGGAGCAACCTTGTATATATCCACAACAATCCTCCATTGATAAGTTCTGACTTTGAAATTCGGCAAGATAAGTTTTTGGTGGTTCCTCAGATTGTGTGGGGACTAAACAACCAGAAAATTGCATTTGCAAGGTCTTGTCTTACTGCTAGAATGCTGAATCGAACCCTGTTGATGCCTAGCCTTAGTGCCTCACTGTTTTATAAAGAAATTGACCTCCTGCAACCCATTTCCTTTGACAAGGTATTCCAATTTGAAAAGTTTAATGCACTTTGCAATGGTTTTGTCCGGTTGGGTCACTACTCTGATGTCTTGAATAAAACACAAGTGCTTGAAATGCAGAAAGGAAGTGGAAGGAGGTGGACAGTGGAGAGAGATTTATCACAATTGCAGGAGCATAGTAGGGGCTCTTTTGATGACTATGAGGTAATCCGGATTGTAGGGAAAAATCCATTCTTGTGGCACGATCATTGGCCTGTGAAGGACTATGCAAAGGTTTTTGAGTGCTTGGATTTGATAGATGATATTGCTAAAGATGCAGATAAAGTTGTGTCTAGGATTAGAACAGTTGGAAGAGAGGTAATAGACAACAATGAATCAGTGGAACTGGAAAACAGTATCACCTCTGCTAGGTCTTCATTTCAGCCTCTTCCATATGTTGCTGTGCACATGAGGATAGAAATTGATTGGATGATTCACTGCAAAAAGTTAGAGCAGAGATTAAACACAAATCAAATCTGCAGTAGCAAGAAAGAGATAATGGAAAGAGTTAGGAACATCATTGGTTTGAAGACTCCAGTTGTTGTTTATCTTGCAGTGGCTGATAAACTCCTTAACAGTACTTCCATACCGGAAGATTGGGAAGAAGGCTTTCTTACTTTTGATAAGAAGAAACTTGGGGTTGATGGAATTTATAACAAATATCCATATTTAATTCAGTCTGCAATTGACTACGAAGTGTGTTTACGGGCTGATATCTTTGTGGGAAACAGTTTCTCTACATTTTCAAGTCTTATAGTTCTTGAAAGAACACAGAAGATGATCAGAATGAATGTCACCAGCATATGTGGAACTGAGGTAAGATGGCCTTCTTATGCTTACAATATACCAGGAGAATCAAATGGCCCAATGAGATGGATTACCAATATGTCCGAATCAAGTCTTAAAGCTATCAGCTATGGCACCAATCACATCTCTTGTTGACAGTCCTATATTTAATTCCTGCTGCAAATCTAAATTTTAGATTAGATTAAGAGCCCCTTTCTCTTGTTTGAACATTTTCACTTCTGGGGTTTGATTAGCACACTTCAAAAAAAAAAAAAAATGTAGAGAATACAATAATGGCATATAGCTGTTTACACTGAGGTAGGGCTTCTCGTTATGTAAATTTAACCTATTATTTTGAATGAGTTTTTTCAGATGTTGCATTGATTGTCTGATTGGTGAAAAACAAAGTCCCTTCAAAAGGGTAAGTTTTGGTTTCCGTTTATATTTCTGTTATAATTTGGGTGGTGTTACTGTTGTTTGAATGGGTTCACATGTGAGGATTGAAAAAGGTTGAGAGAATACGTCTACCTCTGTCTGCTGGTGGTGTCTATTTGTTGTACATTTGGGGGAATACACATAGTGGACCCTCTTTTATTTTCTTTACTTATGAAGTTCAATTTCATAATGTTGTTTTGGAACACTGCAGTGGAAAATTCCATGTTTAGAAATGATTGCCTGTAGAAGGGTCTATTGTATTTGCATACTCTTGTACCCTCTCAGCCATGCTTCAGTTTCAAGTGAGTACAATCATTTATCTGATGAATAACGCTTTAGGAAAAGCCACTTCTTCCTGGTCTAGCCAAAAGTAATGAATGACAAGGGGCCCCCATCACAGACTAGGAGTGGGACTTTGAAAGGTCATCTGCACTTAGTGTTAAGAGGGTTTTTAGGTTCAAAATGTCTCCTCTACATGACAATTTTAAGTCTGTCACTTCTTTAAAATTAAATATTTTTGTTAAGAGGTCATTGTATCTTTCTTATTCTGCATGTGAATGGTAGGGATTATGGGTCTGATGTTAAAATAGTTTACTCCTTTAAATGCTGGGCTTAAAAACAGATGAATTTATTTGATGCATTGTTATAAGGAGAGGCTCTTGTGTGTGTGTGTGTGTATAATTAAAAAAACAGAGATAAGTATGACATTTCTTTTTTTAGCTGTTTTACATTATTGCATGCATTTTTGTACAGTTTATTACCTATTGTTTCTTCTCTCAGTTTATTTATTATTTTCCTGTTGAAGATGAGGTGTAGTTGCAAAAGGTAGGATAATAATGAATAGATCTTAGTGTTACTGTATCATTGAAGATTCAGTGCTACACGTAGACAAAAAATATCATGTCATCTGATCAACTGTCATTTAAATTTTTCTTTTCAAATGATATGATATTTTTTGTCCACGTGTCACAAAATGAACGATAGCAGCACTGAAATTTTGATGCTATGGTAGCTATAAAGATTTATTTGGATAATAATAGTTGCCTTTATAATACAGTGGGGTCACCTTGGCCCAGGAACCAGGCATACAATGATTTGTAGCATGACTCTCTTATCACATGCTAGGAATTCATCAATAATATGCTGAATATCCCCGGAGTTCTCGGAAAAGAGTAAGCTGTAAACCCAATATGAAGAGCATGTCCATGAAAATATGCTGATACCTTCACTTTGTTTCCCTTTTTCTTCCTCTTTTTGAGGAGCATGTGACTTACAAGGGATATGTGTGTCATGAAAAAGAAAAACCAACCTTATCAATTAAAAGTTTGACATGTGGATTGAATAAGTTTTATAATTTTTATATTTTTGGTCTTAGGAGAGATAAAGGTTTATGTGAAATGTTTCTCGTATGCACAAGTTTTATGCACTAACTTCACGTAAGATGAAGTGTTAAACATCTAGAAGAGAAATGAAAAACTACTTACCTAAGGTGGATTCTATATTTTCCCATATAATCCTAAACCCTAAAATGTATGTCTTTATAAATAACACAGCATAAGGTTTATATGTTAATTTTTGCAACTACAACGTTTTTGTGGACTCTTATTGTAATTAATGTACTAAGGCAACAAGGGGATAAGAATGAGTTGGCTGATACAAAATTAAATGTCTCGTCAAATAATTTTTAAGATAAAATTTAAACTATAACATGTATTAATTTTGATCTGGATATTAATATGAGGCCCACATAAAAGAGGCTAACATTCAAAGTCTTCAATCATTAAGCAAAGTTTTGGTCAACAAAGGCTGCTCCCTCTTCTCTATCTCCCAAACCTATCTCAGCACACTCCTCAATATTAAATACCACATCTCAACAAGCTACTGAATACTTCATCTCCAAGTATACTTCAACACCAAGACATCTTTGCAAATGTTATCTCTCAGTCACCCACAAAAACCAATGAAAAGAGATGTATACCTTTACCATGAAGAAATGCATCTCCCAAGCTGGTCATCTCTTTACTATAAATACATATGTGTTAACCCAAGGTGCATATACACAATAAAAACCTGCTTAAACAAAATCTGACTTGAGCGTTGGAGTGTCTTATAAGTACATCCCCCCCCCCCCCCCCCCCCACTTTGTTCCATTGAAGACCCATATGTTAAAACTACTCCAACTGCAAGCTGCTTCAACTCAAGGCGGTTCCAGACCAATTGTGTAGAGGAAGATCACATGGTCAGTCTAATTGTAAAAATGGTTCTAATCAAATTTCAAAGCAACCAAGAATCTCCTTAAGTATAAAGTAAAAATACATTTCACCTTTTTGGCTTCAAATATGATAAATTGAGAGAAAAACAAAATTCGAAGTTAGAAGATGCAAGGGGTAGAATAATAAGAAAAATATAAAGGGGTATTGCCGTACATATGTTTCTTGTAGAAATAAAAGTCTGATCAATCAATTATATAATAGTCATTTGATTAAGTCTTACAAATTACGGATCTTACATATTGCATAGGGACTTATATATCCCTCAAAAAAAATTAATTTAAGTCTTCCAATTATTATAAAAACAAGTGTGAACACAATAAAGGGTGTGAAAGAAGAAGTGTCGTGATGAATAGAACAGAACAAAGTGATGACCTTATAAACTTTATCTCTCCAGTCCAATATGGATTGGGGTAAATTATACATGGTCGAAAGATAAATACTTTGAGTTGTTAGCGGTACTTCGTGGGCCTGAGATGTTCACTGTGTATGTCGGGGTTGAAGAGTACTACTGACGTAATGGGAATGAATGAGGGTACCTGCAAAGACACTCCGACGCTCAAGTCATTATCAATGCTAAGTTTATGTTATGTTTAATGGGAATAAGATGATCATACCTGGATTTGTACTCTTCATATTTATAGCAAGCTTTATGCTGCCTTTGGTAGGCGGCATGCCTTCTTATTAGCTGTTATAGGCTGCAGACTTGTCTGTCTCAGCTAGTGCCTTTCTGCCAACGTGGAAGTTTTCATTTGACTTTAACTATCAGAGGCATTAAAATGCTACTGCAATTACGTGGAAGTTTTAATTGCCAACGTGGGGTGATTTAAACTTTAACCTTTTCACCTTCTACTCATGTGCCCCCTTTTTGCCATTTCAATTGACATGTTTTACCTAAATATCTCTCGGTGACTTTTTGTATTTGTACTGTTCTTACTTTGTGGAGGGAAAATGTTTGAGCCAACGAAAATACTCATCACTTTCGCCAAGTGTGTTTTGCCAGTATCCCGACTGTGAATTTCCTTCAGTGACACGTCCTGCTTCAACCTTCCCACCGGAAGTATAAATTTCAGGTATGCACCTTCTCTTTCTCTTCGTCTTTGTGAAATTTGTTCAATCTTCCTTAAATCTTTCTATTTTACCAAATTTTTTTCACAACGATACGTTTTTCCTCCCTTAGTTACTTAATTTCTCTTAGAATATGTTTGACAAACGTCAATTTTTGGACTTTTTTAGAATGGCCGAGAGGTCTGATTCTACCAGCCCCCCTCCAAGAACTTTCCTCAGGTCTAAATCCCTAGGAACTGGAGAATGATAGTTGAAGGGTAAAGGTATTTCTCCTTAGGAGAAAGCAAAACTTGAGGGAAGTTTCACTCCAACACTTCGAGGATGTGAAAGAGGATCCTCATCCCGGAAACCAAAACGCGGAGTATCCCTAACTTTGTCTCAATAAAGTTCTCCCCCTCTTACTTCATTAAAAATCTCGGTGCCGAACAAATTTGCCAACCCTATTTGTATTTCAAGTGATTCCAATCCTAGCCCCGTGTCGAATCCGCGCAATTCGTAAGGTAACAATCCCTTTGATTCTGAAGATTCCTCACGCTCGAGTTCTCAAAACTCAAAGCACAATAGTCCTTCACCTATTGTGCATAATGAACCTGCGACAAATTCAAAGCGCAATAGTCCTTCACCTATGTGCATAATGACCCTGCGAAAAACCGAAGCCCAAGCCCAATTCAGCTAAGTGTCGTCTATCTTGCATGATATCCTTTTAAAAAATGAAAAGTGAATAGAAAACCAATCCTTCAATTTTTAGTTCCTCTTCTTCTTCCGACTCCACTAATTCCTCATCTTTTGACGTAGATCTTATTTCTTCAAAAATCAGAGAAATCATGGCTAAGCGCAATACTGCTAGAGAAAAGAAGAAGCAATTTCAAGACCAAGATGCTACTGGGGCGAGTAGGTCCGGTTTTCGTGACGCTGGAAGTTTAGAATGGGTGTCTGAGATTGTGCAAGACACTGTGTCCTATTACAATTCACCGAGGGAAATTGAAGAGTTAAATATTGTCATCCACCTGACTCAAGACAAAGCTAAAGATGGTAGATGGGAATTGTCAGTAGTGTCCAAGGATGAATATATGTGCTCATCTCGCGCCAGCAATTCATCAAAACACTTCCTTATGATGTATAACTACTATTTCTTAACCCTCAGAGTGTGCCTTCCGTTTTTCTCCCTTTGTAATTAAATTACTTGAGCATATTCAAGTGGCACCATCTCAACTTCATCCAATGCTTGGGGATTTATCAGAGTGTACGAGATGGTTTGTAAGGCTTACAACTTGGTCCAGTCGCCAGAATCCTTCTTGGGTTTGTCTAGTGTGTTTGGTTCGCACAAAAGTTGGGTATCTTTTAGAGGATATACGAATTATAAGTTTTGTGAGGCGTATCAAAGGAGGGTGCACAACTGGACCACAAATTTCTTCAAGATTTATCCTGCGAGAGATTGTCATCCATTTTTCCTAAGTGAGGAGGACAATTCTCCATTGTTTCCCCTCTATTGGACTAGATATCCCTCAGACGAGTATAAGCTGAATATTTTCTTCTCGGATTAA